GAACTTTTACCTTTCGCCTCAATACAATAATTGACAATAATGAAAATTTAGAAATTCTTCTGTAACATTTTCTTCTCATTTGCAAGATGGTCTCAAATTCAAAGCAAACTGCCAAATCAGTACTCAGGACTCAGGACTCACTGATCTCCTTGGGGTTTGGTTTTATCAGAGCCTGTGGATGGTTGGGTGCACGGTGAACATTGTCAGTGATCTTCCACCGAACCACGTCCGTTCCCTTGGGTGGTCCTGTCCTCACCATGGGCGTGTCCAGATGGTCTGAGGTGAGCAGAGACTGACGGAGCAGATACTCGTCCTCCTTGAAACCAACCATACGACCTGTAGGAAATGAAACAAGAGTTGCTTCATACCCCGTTTGGTTTGACGTTGGTGCTCATTTAAACCTTGACCTGGTCTACGTCGTACCTCGTCTACAGCAGGGCAGCAGGGCTAAACAACTCTGTTTTTAATGAGAGGAGAGACAGAAGCTGTGAGGGCAGTGGATATATTTACATATATACTCTATCAAACAAAGGCCAAATGTTTGTTTTTGTCACCTGACAGCAGGATTTGCAGCAGGCGCAGTACTTCCAGCAGCAGAGCAGAAGGAGTGCGAGCAACAGGAGCAGGAACAAGATCAGAGGCAGCAACCACAGGAGGCTGGCAGCAGGACAATCTGGAGGAGAGTCAGAAATGTACCGATTATGAGGCGGCTGAAAAAGTGAGTTAAAAGTTGTGCTTTTCATTGTAGGTTCTGTGATCAACAGTCAAAATGATTCGCTCTTTCACTCACCTTTCTTCTTCAGCACTTTAACTTTCAGGATTCCGTCAGTTGGATCTATGGGGTTTTCTGCAGTGTAATGGTACGTACAATCGTCTTCCTCGTCACGGAAACTGCACGAGTCACGCACCAACTCCGCTAAAGAGTGACACCATAAGGAAGCCATCTTACTACATGTGGTATCAAAGTTTTATCATCATGGTCTGATGAAGGTTGAGGATGAGTTTGCTGCTACTTTCAGGCAAACCTACAGTGTTTGAGTTCATCCACCCAGAATATTTTGAAGGGACACTTGCAGTCGTCCTTCTTCCTCCCTGTCTTCCAGGCTTGACACTGAACACAGTCTCTGGTCGCCTCACAAGCACCCAGCTGGGCCTGAACAACCGCAAAAAACAGTCAGAAATAGTATCTAAGCCGAGACGGCACAAGACAGACAGGACACTGACATACAGAGCCAGAATTACATTCACGTACCTGAAAATTTGGCTCACAAGTTGCGGTCAGATCCACCTCCATGTTTTCACACTCACATTTGCCACACACACATTTACCTCGGCCGTTGCAGATACCCTGTTAAAGACAATTGTAACAGCTTCATTAGGATACTGAGTGATGTCTGTCTTACACATCTGCCTCACATGCAGAAGCTCCTGGGTTCTATTCCCAAAGGAACCACTTGCCTAATAGCACCTTGTGTGGCAGCGTGTGTGATTCAACTGTGAATTTCACTATTGGACGAATATTGGATTTTATTTACAATGACAATCGTGTGGCTCCAAATACAACGGTAAGAACAGAATCTGCTGTTGTCTACCCCAGAACTTGACGTAGCAGCGTTATTTCTTTCTCATTATTACATTAATTGGGAAGTGTATACCAGACACGCAGCTCTTCTTCAAACAGCTGGGTGACCTCTGATCTAAATAGTGTTTAAGGACTTGTAGGTTTGAAGATTCAGCAGGGCACCGCTCACCTTCTTGTTGTCCAGACAGGTCTGGTTGCTCATAGGACACTCGCAGGCATTTCCCTGCCAACCCTCTGTGCAGGAGCAGCGACCCATAATACAAGAGCCCCGGTCTGATGGGAGAATGAAGAGCATAACAGCCCTGGGTTGTAAACAGCATGTTCTTGTTCAGTCATAAAACGACAGCCAGAAAACGATCGTACCGTTGCAGAGAAAGCCACCAAATCGCTGACACTGGGTTTTGTCGTACTGACAGTAAGGACCTTCAAACTGATCAGGGTTGTAGCACACACACGTCCCACACTCGAGGCAGTCTCCACGACCGGAACACGGTTCAGTCATGCCTGGACCTTTGCACTGGCTGGTGTCCAGCGCTGCACCAGTGGCTGAGCAGTTACAGTATCTACTCAGCCTGAAAGAGACCAACATGAAATACAGTACTGAGACCAAAAGCCGTAAAAAGTCCAAACCCAAAGTGTTAAATTTTAAAAACTGACATGAAAGCATTATTTTTTTTTATTATTAACGCAACATTTCACCTGAGACCAGTCCATGGTCAAATACTCACCAGCCGTCATAACATCTACACTTTCCACACACCAGGTCTCCGTTGCCGTGACATAACGGTGATCTAATTATAGGAGTCTAAAAGGGCAAACAACAAAGGAGGCAAATTGATTATGTCTCCCACAAAGAACTGTAGGAGTCAACACTACAACAAAGCTGTGTTTGTGTGGGGTTTTTTTTCTTTCTGCCCCCTTCTCACAGTCACAGACTGGGCACAGAACCGATGCCTCGACATTGACGGCAGCACTGAAGGTTGTGGGTTTGATTCTCATCTTGCCACTGGTATCTTCACCGTCCATCTGGCACACGGGCGTCTCCTCCACCATCCTCTGGGCTTTCAGAAGCATCTTGAACTTGCCCTGTAGAATCACACACAAGAAAACGGCTCAAGACAGAAGAGAATCCAATATTTCTCTGTTCCAAAGGGTGATGAAGAACACTCAGGTGTTTTAGGACTTTAAAAAGCAAAGTTCCAAAAACTGTTGCACTGGTGTTTTCAAATTAAACCCTAACCCAAACTGAAGCTAGGAATGCAGATGAATGTCAGGCTGAATTTTAGAATTTAATAAATCAAAATAAAATTTGTCTTCATGTTGTCAATTATCAAACTTAAAATTTGTCTTCATGTTGTCAATTATTAAGCACTGAAGAAGGACAGATGATGTTGGAAATGGAGCTCCCTCGGTCATTGGTGAACGTGGGGAAGTAGGAATGTGAGATGGATAGTGTAATAGAAGCGACAGACTGACAGATGGTTTCTGCCTCTTACTGTTTCTCCAGGCTTGAAGTCAAAGGCACCGTATTGGGCGACAGTTCCGTTGGTGGACAAGAACTGAGTCTCGAAAGCCTTGGGCCTGTCTTCTGCACGGATGCTCATCTTGGAACGGATTCTCTGAAGGGGAACAGAAGGAGGTCAGTAAGTGTGTCTCAGCACAGTGACGTGTCCACGCAAGAAGAAAGGAGTGTTTTTTAACCTTGAAGGCACTCTCCATGACCTGGAGGATGTTGGAGGAATCCTCCTGCAACAGCTCGACTTCCGCGATGGGGAAATACTTTTCAAGTTTCTAGAAGAAACAGATAAACAAAACAAAAAACATCTAGGCCTTGAAGTAATACTTCCTGTTTCAAGGTTGGAAGGAACATAGGGGAGAACCTAACAAACCTGGTAGTAGGTGTAGGAGTGGTTGGTGACGGCAAAGATGGGGATGATGTTGTGTTTGCCCAGCAGGCGCACCAGAGTGGGTATTGAGGGGTAGTCCTGCACTGTATCGTGGGTGTATTTGCCCTCAGGGTTCAGGTGGCAGTGCTCGTCGTTGCGCTTCAGGATGCCAGAGAGCACGTTGACACCATCAGCCTCGTAGTGAAATGCAGACTCGGTGGAGAACACCAGCAGGTGAGTACTGTGAGCTCGCCAGCCAATTTGCTCCTGGGCAAGAGAGATTTCTTAGTTAAGCAATGAGGAATATGCAACAAGTTGATATTTCAGAAATAGTTGCTACTGCAAAATCAAACTATCTTAAGTTAATATGTTTAGTATTCAGTATTTAATAAATAAAATTGTTCCACTAATGATTTGGTGCAATGTTTAACTGCAAACATTTGTGTCTTAAAGATAGATAGAGACGCTTTGGAGTTTTTCAGTTAAAAATACATCCTGTAGGTGGTAGTACTGCAGTTTAAAATTTTCAAAAAAAAAAAAAAAGATTTTTGATTAAAAAAAGTTTTATTCTCAAAACAAATGGTTCATGTTTAAAAACATGGTATTGTTTCAACATTTCAAATGTATTAAAGTCCAAACCTGACAAACTGCAGCCTGTAATATGGCGTCGAAGCCTCCTTCAGGAGCGTCCAGGTTTCCAGATATCTTCTCCTTCTGCAGGATCCTGGTGAATTCGTCCTCATTGCTTGTCAGCTTGATGACGTTTTCAAAGGAGAATGGAGGGTCACTGTTTGGCCATGGGGATTCCAGCCTGGAGTGGGAAGAGAAATGGCGGAAAAGAGAACGGAGAGCATTTAGTTTCTATTCCTAAAACGTCTTAATCTTGTTGACTTTACTCTTCGCTCTCTTACTTTGATTTCCTCATGTCGGTCTGCGGCTCGATCACTTTGTCCACAAACTTCCCAAAGCCGATGGTGTAGTCATCGGACAGCGTTCCCACTACGGTGGCTGCGGGGAAACAAAGTCCATCAGTATGGACAGAATGTCTGTCTCACAGATCAGAGGTGGTTTGAAATCCACTCACCCAGCTTTGAGCCCATCCTCTTCAGGTTGTCCAAATCGTCAGCCATGGAGTTGGAGAAGTCCATAAGAATATAAAGATCCAGAGGACCTTTGGTAGGAGCAAACACCTCCACGTCCACCATCTTCTCCTCTCCTGGCAGGAAGGTCATGGTCAGCTGCTGAGGTGACACCTGGGACTGCTGGAGCCTCGTGTTGATCCTCTCAGCCTGGGGAGTGAAAGGGGAGTGATGGAGACAAACTGACTTTAACATCTGAAGGTGATGTGAGACAGGTGTCCTCATACCTTGTCTGTCCTATTGCTGCTGTGGGCGGTGATGATTGCCGCAGCAGTGCAGCCGTGGGCCAGGATGTTCTCATGACGGTCACAGCGAGGCCCGTGAAAGTTCTGCAAGAACAGGACATTTGGTGTTTATCGCGCTTTTCCCAGGGATACGTACTTTAATCATTCATCTCAAAGTGACATTTTAAGACATAACCTATTTCTGACCGAATGAAAAGGAATCAGTAGATTGTTAAAGAATATAATTGTTTTCCAGGGTTTGAATAACCAGCTGAATATTAGCAGTAAAGATATCAGCACTTCTCACTTCAAACCCTAATCTGCTCCGTGACCAGAAGATTTTTTTTTTTTTTTTACGACACATTCTGCAGTTTTCTGCCCTTTCTCACCTCCTCGGGGCAGTAGGCGCAGCCTTTTCCAGCCTGCAGACACTTAGAGCAGGTGGTATCTCTGGCAGCAAAGCAGTAGTTCTCTGTGAGAGAGAAGAGAGTCAGAAACAAAGAGAAAATCTGATTTATGAAACATAGCAAAGATACCAGTGGTTGTAACAGAACACATTATACAGATTTGTTCCAATTGAGTGCAGTAGTGGGAAAAAGAGAGCATATACAAGATCATCAACAACAACAACAACAAAGATTCTGAGAGATATTGTTTTGGTTCATCCACAAATATCAATTGAAATTTCCTTTAAAATAAAAAGTGGCTATCTTCACAGTACTGTTTCTACAGGATTTTATGTCTGTATTGGCCTGCTACAACTGCCTATCAACTGTTGTGCATCTATAATAAATCTTTCAAAGCAGACCGTAGGGGGCGCTGTGAAGAAAAGTAAAATAAATGAAACTGCTGGAGAAAAAGGACTACATTTAAAAATAATAATGTTGTTAAACGGGGTTTCATATCTGGTAGTCAGATGGTCGTTGGTTCAACACCCAACTTCCTCGCCTGTTTCTTTATGCAACCAAGATGTGTTGCGGATAAAAACAGAAGAATGTTTATGTAGCTGTGTAACTTACCCTCAGCGTAAGACGACATCAACAGGACGGCCAGAAGCCCGAGCCCCGCTGAGAGATGTAACGCCCATCTCCCCATCGCCTTCCTGCAACACACACACGTAAAATACACAATTCCAAATCCAAACAATTGGAGGTACTTTTGAAGCATTCAAATTTGACCTTTGGGTGAGTTGTAACTTAAACCACTTCCCATAAGGGAAATGTTCTATTACATCTAGATCTGTGTTCAAAATGAGCTCCAGAGAAGACCGAGTAACAATCTGCTGCTAAATCAGCAAATTGATTTTCTTTTTCTTCAGAAAGAACAGTTTCTGACACAAGAGTTCTATTGGCATCATTTTAAAGAAATATCAAACCAACCTCCCCAAGATTATATGTTGGCAAAGTCAATATCCCTGGTACCCAGATGATGAGAAATCCTAGGACACATTAGAATCCTTGTGATGCACATTCAGTTCGTCTTTGAACATCGTCCGTGCTGACGAGTCCATGGGCAAAAAAAAAGACTAAGATTTAACCACAGGACCTCAGCGTTCTTTTAGCCCAACATCTTAACACAAGTCAAACCTGAACCAAACAGGAGTTTTCCTGACTGGACCACCTTTAAGGTGACTCCTTAAGAAAACTGCAGCTAATAGTAATTATCCCTTTGTCACAGTTTAATCTTCATTAACTTGTAATGAAGGTGACACATCCCATTAAAGATAATGGAATGCAGCAATCTGACTATTTGAGACATGGGTGAGTGGTAAGAACCAGTTGAGACATGATACAGACAGAGATACTGGAACCACGGCGGGAGGAGGTGCCGTCTAACCCAGGGTGGGACCTTGGTGTATCACTTGCAGCCTTTTCTTTAAGACTTTTCCAAATGGAAAAACCTATAATTTCACACAGGAATCTTGGACGTGGAGCTATCTGATCAGCACAAGGGATGATGCACAAATGCAGCAACGAAAACAACAACAAAGATGAAGGAGGAGGAGGAGGAGTCAACAATCTGTGGCATGAGACGTTTGGATAATTATCTGTGTGGGCACACACAGAGAAATGAGGGATTTGTGCTGCAAGGATTTACAACTGCCAGAAGGAATTTCTCCTGGAGGCGAGAGAATGACCTGTCCAAGTCTGGAAACACAGCCTGGAAACACATGGGAAAGGTTGCTTAGCACCTGACTGTCAGCTCCAGCTCACTACAGGTGTGTGTGTGTGTGAGAGAGAGAGAGAGAGAGAGAGAGAGTCTCCACACCATGAATAAATCACTGACCAGGAGGAAAGAAAAACACGTCAGAAATCATTTTCTGTTTGGGACTTGAGTTTCTGCTCCTCGTCCTCCGTTAAACTAAAACGTTTGCACTTTGCAGTAGAATACTGAGTAGGATATTGGGACAAAAGTGGTATTTTGGATACAAAATGTTGACTTGAAACTTTGAATTACAGTCTCAGGTACAACAGGAAGGGCGTTTGCCCCTGTGGTGTTAGAACATTAAAATGAAAAACATCAAAGCTCCCCTAAAATAACTGGGATTCCACCACCAGAAAATATCCCATAAACCCCTGACCGGCAGAAGTCAGAGTAGAGACACTTTGTGTTTCAGCTCCTTCTCCTCAGATTAAGTGGAGGCTTGGCAGACGTTAATGACACTCAGGACATGCAGTGAGGCACAAATTACAGCCTGTGAGTGACAGAAAATAGATCAGTCATTCACGCCTACATTGGTCTGCAGCATGTTTGTTCTGAGACGGTGAAGACTTGGAATAAACAATCTTTGTTGACAGCATGGTGTTTCTTCTTTAAAGGCTCAATTCTTATGAGAGGTGGAGGCTCAGAGGCAGCAGCCTGAAGAGATGATTTTTGTTTGAGGCAAAACTGAGCAGAACTCCAACTGTCAAAAGTCAGGCCCTGTAGCTTTGCTGAGTCAAAATTCACTGATCTAAAGAAGAAGAGAAAAAAGAGAGAGTTCAAAGCCTCTGAGTTCAGACAACACCACTTGTGCCAGGTGAACATACCGCTGCTGGGTGTGGGTTTGAACCCTGTATGACATCATCAGTCAGGGGTGAGGAGGGCAATAGGGTGGGGGGCGAATGTTACGGCGGGTAATAACAGGTTTGAGGGTCGAGTCGAGGATGCTGCTGTTAACAGTAACGTCCACAACAAATCATATCTTTGGTGTGAAAAAATGGGAAATCACTGTTTGCTAAAATGATGACGTCCTTTTAATCCACTGTTTCAACCTAAAACCATGAGATTCAGTTCACTGTCAGAAGAGAGAAATGAAGAAAGAAGATTTCAAAGCTGAAACGGCGCCGGCGAAAATTCAGAAAATAATCAAGGATTCAATCTTTGCTGGATTTTCTCACTGACACAAGCCTCCTTATTAATCCAGCTTTAGGACCAACTCGAAAACAAAGATGTCGTCCACATGCAACTGGAAACAAACTGCTTCAACCACTGACCCACAGACAGAGTCTCAAACTGAAACTTGGATTAAAAAAAGGCAGCAGCGTTAACTGTCAAATAATACCTGTTACTAAACCCACAAACTTTTAACATTAACTGTCAAATAATACCTGTTACTAACAGCTGTTTATGTTGTTATAAAGGCAGTAACTCTGGATCAAACCAGTTTTTGTCTGAGCTCCCTCATTCCATCAGTCACTCCTCCATGCTACAGAATGTACTGGGCATCAAACGAGTGAAAACATAGTTCTGTTAATGCTGAACAGCGGACGGAGCAGCAGCGGTCCTAGATCCCCCCCTTTAGGATCTGAACCTAGGGTTGTGCTACAGTGTTTTGCCCAGAGACACGTTGGCCTGAGGCTGCAGTCTAACCTCTGACCCAACCAGAGGCCAAGGTCAGGTCCTTGTGGGTTTCCTTAGTCCACATGGGTTTAAACAAAAAGCAAAATGACCGAATGGTTATGAGGCGGGGCTTTGTTATTGGAGAGTTGCCGGTTCGAATATCATGACCAGCAGGGGTGTGGTGTGTTGAGGAAGCAGCAATTATCTCTTATTCTAGTGCCTAAACATCTGTCTAAAATAAAGTTCTCAGGTACTTTTTACTCATGGACAATCAAACATTGGTCCTACATGGAACGGGTGGACAACCCATCTGGGTCATGACCAATACAAACATATATGCTAACTGAACTTTTCTACCCTCTGATCCAAAGTCAAACACTTTAGAAACTTCAGATTTTTTACATGGTTTTTGGTCTTTCACTAACCTAGAGTCTAAATATCAATTTGTAGGCGCCACCAACAATTTGCCAACCAGAGCTTTAAAGTCACCGTATAAACTCACACAGAATATGAATGATTGCATGACTATTATATGTGGAGCAGCAGCCAGTGCTCATGTAACCACCGAGACACATCTCTGTTGTTCTTCCACCTGTGTTACATTACAGCCGCTGCTTTGATCTGAGCCACGGTGCAGAAAAGGGGAAGAAAAACGAACCTCAACCTGTCCAGAGCGTAACCTTCGCTCCTTCACACACATGGTGAAATATACAGTTGGATATAAAGTTTTTTTCTATTTGTTTTTGACAGCATTTGACATCTGTTCAAACACAGACAAACAGCCAAAGTTTGGAGCCTTTGGAGGAATTTATGACACAGTAAAAAAGAGATTTCTTAACAAACAAACCTCTTACTGCACTTTCAACCAGGCTGGGTCCAAAAGTCCAACACAAATTTAAAAAAAAGAAAATTCACAAAAGGAAGCCAATCCCCTTAGTTTTCTTGTTTGTATCCACCTGCTAACAGGAAAGAAAGTGTCCTGGTGTCCAAGTTCAAAGTTCAAGGGTGTCAAAAACTTCCAATCTTTTTCTCTCTCCTTTGTTCTGACGTTTTGTCCTTTCTTTCGTCCCTTAAGTCGTCTGCCCGTCTCCTCAAACGGTGACTTATTTAAGCTCTGAGTCAAGTTTGTGTGAGCGGTGTGTGTGTGTGTGTGTCTGTGTGTGAGGTTTGAAGGAGAGAGATATGAATGACACAGAGACTCTGAGCGAAGGAGTGAATATGAGTGAGTGTGCTGAGACTTGATCCCTCCTTTGGCTCTTTGAGCACACACACACACACACACACACACACACACTTTCCCTTCCCTGTCCAGGTGACTGAGATGGTTCACTCCCTCCTTCCTGTACCTGGATCTCCTCCCCCGCCCCCTCCTCCCCCTTCACTTCTCTCCACCCTGTTGATAAGTGAAGCTCCACACCTCTGTGTGTCAAACCCAATCCTCCCTTCCTCTTCACTGCATTCCACCCCATCCCCAGTTCTTCACCTGTGTGGGCTTGACAATGTTCAGGGGGGTAGAAGCTGGGCCCCTCCCTGCTCCTGCTGCTGTGGCCTCCTCCCAAGCTCTGGGGAGTGGCACACAGAGCAGAACAGCACCCGCGGGCTATGGGAAAAAAACCTCTTTGTGACTCCTGTGTTTACACAATCCCAGCTCTCACTTAGCGGGCACATTTTCTGACTTGTTAAATACTTGGTACGAACACTTGTTGCATTGCCACATATCTGTTCTCCTGCTCTCTGTGCAGGACGTAGACGTGGACATTCCTGAACAGTGTCCCTGACACTCAATCCTGCTGCTCAACCTTGTGCACTTGAGTTACGGCCTATTTAACAATAGGAACACGTTGATCCGGAGTGGACTCTAGAGTGAAAAACTGCCCACACTGAAAGGTTCAGGTGTCACTTTTAGTCCCTTCTTTGCAGTGAAACAGTCTATTTGTCACTGCCTTCAACAAAAAGACCCTGACACAGTTCCTGGTACATGAATGTACAATGGGGGTTTGGTTTTTGCAGAAATGCTGCCACCTTGACTTTTCAAAATCGAAAACTAATCAGACAACATCTCTTCTGCAACGGCAGGTTGTTGCTTTTGTTTTAGCAAATAAGTGCAACTGTCGTCTGCGTCAGGAAAATATGACAACATAGGATGAAAAATCAAAATATTTCCAGTTCAGTTCTGCTACAGCAGCTGAAGATACAGTATAAGTTCACCAGAACTTTCAATGTTATTTTCAGCAGGCCAGGCTGCTATGACAGCAGCTAATATTAGAGCCACACGTCAACTATGTGGAGAACCACTTCCTCTGCTGCAGCATCACCAGTGTCTTTAACATTACATGGAAAAACTTATCTGCGTGGAGCAACTGCTGTTTTATGAAGATTAAGACTCACTAACAACAACCAACATTTATAAACAAAGGCATTTCCACCACTCTGCCTTCAAGGAATTAAACCCAAACTGGTCTATGTACAGGACTCTGTTTTCTTTCTTTGACATAATCTCAGGAACTTTTTTTCTAGTAATATTATTTTTTAGCTGATTAGTAGTTGATTATATCTGTTTACCACATGATAAAGACAGATGTATTTCTGATTATGTCCTCCATCCCTAAATATAACAACATTTGAGGAGGCAGGTGAAGTTTCAGGAGAATCTTTCAATAAAGTAGGAAGGTACGTTAGTCCAAAACAAAAGGAAAAAAAGTTTTTAAAAATTAACATTTCTCTGTCCTTACAAACATAATGGTCATGGACTTACTGAGAATCAGACGTGGTCCTGGAGAACCTGGAGTCCTCAGCAGAGAGACAACAGGGCTTGGGCTCACTTCCTCTGGACTCAGCAGCACTGTGAGTGTCTGTGTCTGTGTCTGTCTGTGTCCCAGGCCGCAGCCTGCGACGCTACATGGAGCAATTTGCATGACAAAAAGCTGCACTTTTTGGATCAGTGGCTTCATTCACTGCTTGGAATGGAGTTTCTTTCTGTCTCTGTCTCACTGCAATAAATCTGCAGTAACCAGGACAGAGGTGCAGCTCAGTGGAAGCAGAAGAAGAAACTGGAAGAAAACATTTTTTTAATCAGAAAAAAAAAATGTTTCTAATAGAATGTGTTAGAGCAGCATTTACCTATTCTTTTTATTATCACATTTCAAATTGAGACATTTATAAAAGTGAACTTACTTTCATTAGGCCTTCGCAGCACCAGCAGGATGTTTCAATTTTTTTTTTTTTTTTTTTTTGCTTTTGCAATGAAGGCTTGGTGAGTGTGACACGTTCACTGATCACTGCAGCTGTAGGTGTGGCTCCTGACCTCATATGTGAAGGTCACACCTGCGCAGGTGTAGATCTCATCACAGTGACTTCCATCCCTACACAGAAGTGAATGTATTTTATTTAAGAAAAGGAAAAATCCACAGAATAGTTTAACAGTTTAATAGTTGTTGTTTCTGCTCGCACTAGTATGGTTTAAAAAATCTCTCTGACTTTTCTTTGTTTTAATGGAGGAAACATTTAACTGTGTAAAACATAATCCATAGGTGACAGTAATGCAACTCATTATATTTACACTTAAAGTCAAAATAAGTGATACTCAAAACTAGCAGGGTTAGCTTAGACAAGCCCAAAGATTTGTACATAACTTTAAAACAAAATGCTATGTATTAGCCTACGCAATGATAGCTATCCGTTGTGCTAGTGCTGCTAAATCGATGCTAACGCACTAGATTCCATGTGGCCGTTAGTTTTTTTCTTTAATAACCATAAATTTGACATTTTATCTCTTACAAAAAAAGTTTGTTGTACAGTGTTAAAAAATTTAAAGATGTATCTAAACACTTAGATCAGGCTTTTCAAACGCCTAGTTATCACCTCCTATAGGCCAGTGAGTTTGAGGAATAAAGAATTAAGATTAACAGTGAGCAGATCTGCAGAGCTTCACTTCCAGTGTTATGTAAACAAACCCCACACTCTTACATTTTCTGATTTCATTCAGCCATAGTGAGCCTCGCAGCAGACAGATTTCCATCTGAACACATCACGTCAGAGAAACGTCTCTAAGACAGGTTGTCTCCTATTTTTCTAATGAACACATTTAAATTCCAGGCTCTGCATAAACATGTTCTGTCAATAAAAAGGAAATGTAGATGTGCTCACTCAGCACCAGCTGCTTGACTGACATTGACTCAACTCAGTGACTCAGTTTTATACCACAATCCGTCCTGTTGCATATATACAGTAAACGCTGCGTCACACCCAGGCCACACCAGGATGTGGATTTACACACCAGCTGGAGACTCATGAAGGTCTAGTGGTTTCATACAGTGATTTCCAAATACTAGGTTTGGATCCAAATTAGTGTCTGTTTTTTTTTTGTTCCCAACCTGTCCCGTTTCTCCTCCTGTCCGACAAATACTGGATTTGCTGACGTGCCTGGTCTGATCAGTTGATTTTAATGGTTCACCAATGACGGACACTGCACTAAATACAGTTTACATGAATCAAAGTGAAAAGACAACATCTGAACCATTTATTTTCATCGTTCACAAGCAACACATACTGTATATACAAGTGTAAAAAAATGATCTTAGCCAAGGGAGAGTGATGACAGATAAAAAAAGATGAAAAATAATACAGTGATGCTCATTCTGGGATAACTGTTGAAGGAGGCAGGTAAATACTCTACCCACACCACCTGGTGTTCCTGTTGTGTTTTAATCAGTGTCATTATACAACCAAGAACACAACTGATGGAACAGAGGGGGGGAAAAAAACAAACGTTGTTGGTGATGTTGCTTCAGTGCAGAGATCAAATCCCAGAGACAAAAGGCAGATCACAGTCTCAGTCCATGTGGAGAAGGGGGCTTTATTTAGTCATTCTCAGCTAAAGTCGTACACGCCAACCTGTCTACGATGTCCAACTGTCCATGACGTCCTACTGCTTAAACGCAGTGAGCCTTTTGTTGTTTTATTTTGTTCACTGCTTTGCTTTTTTGAGGATGGTGCCGACTGCGGAGATGACGGTGGTTTTGGTGCCGCTGGCTGTGGTTGTTACGGAGACGACGGCAGGCAGGGTGGCAGTGGTGGTGATGAGTGTGGGCTGGGCTAAAGTCACGGGGATGGCAGAGTCCCACTTACTCTTCCTCTTCTGGGCCTCTGCTGAAGAGAGTGGGGGCCAGAGAGTGAGATTAGTGATGGTTCTCTAACCCCAACCCTTACAGCAGTTGATGAATTCTGTATCATGTTCATGAAATCATCGTCGTTCACTCCTGGATGCTGACAAAGTCTGGACTCCATCTTTCTGGTCATGTTCCAACTTGTTTTTGCCTGATACTCTTTAAATCAACATTTTGGAAAAGTTATTTTTGACTATTTCTAAACATCTTTCAGCAGTTTTTTTTAACCCTTCCAAGACCAGCCAACTTTTAGCAAAAGAGCTTTAATTTTACACATTTGTTTCCTGAATATTTTTCACAGGGTTTCAGTTATAAAACAAATAACAATGATAATATAGGGACATGTTTTAGCATTTGTAAATGGTTCTATTGGGGCTTATTCTCTATCAAATCAAAATGTCTTGGCTTCAGAACGCATTCAGCAGTTTAACAAGAGACTGAATTCCAAATCAACAAGGATTTTTCTTATTTCACATGACATTTCTGCAATCCTTGACGTTTGCATTGCTCTGCATCAATCACAGTTGAGAAACGTCTGGACCCCAATGTGGGCGACAGCTGTCGGATGATGTGTGTGTCTGTGTGTGCTGAGAAAGCGAAGCTGGAAAACCACACCCAGTGGAGTCCAGATGAGTGATAATAAGCTCTTCGTAAATCACACTCTGCCATTCCCTTTTTCTCAACATAAACCATAAGCAAGGCTTATTTATTTATGAATTCTCTAAAGATTAAAAGTTGGTTGTAAATAATAGTGTGTGTTAACACTTGGATTATAGACTGACACCTTTCAATTTAGACACAGTGAGCTGCACTAATAAATAACAACAATAATAATAATAATGTGGTGTTAATGAAACCGATCACATGCTTGAAGGGTAGGAGTCTTTGGGGGAGGCGAAGTGTGACAGGTAGCTGTAATACGTCTGCTGTGGTTGGTGTTTACCTGTGGCTGTGGTGGTGGTGCTGTTGTTGTTGGTGGAGGCGGCCGTATTGGAGGGGTTGGTGCCTTTTTTAGTCCCTGTGACAAACTCAATCTGGGTGGGGAAAAAATAAAATAAAATAATGAACCAAAATGTCTGAATTTTTTTTTTTTTTTTTAACAACAACTCCAGAAACGTTTGGGAAATATTTACACAGTTCATCATCGTCAGGTTTTATGGCCCTGTTCTCACTTCAATCTCTCTGCATACCAACATATTCGTCAGTAGAAACACAACAGAACGTCTCCTTCTGAGTGCATGTTCCTTCAAGTCTAAGCTACTGCTGTTGCTGCTCAGGGCAGCATGTGGCAAGATGTTCTGACCACGTGTGCATGTTTCTACATTTAATCACTTTTTTTCCTTTCTTCAACTTTCGCTTGCAGCATGTTGTTTTTGCCTTAATCTGTGTTTTGCAGAGTAATTACTAAAGGCAAAAATATCTGCCTTGTTTTGTGTTCACTTGGAAACATGGTATAAAAACACAGGCTCAGGTGTGAGAGCAGCACATGGCTCGGCCTGAGCTGCTGACGCAGGAGCAGGACTCTGTTTCTGCATGTGTGTGAGATGAAGGATGTATGGTACAAAAAAATGTGTGTGTGTGAGAAGAGTTGTCCCCTGACGCAGAAAAAGCAAAGAAGAGTCAGCAGAATGTTCCACATGTTCTTCTTGGTTCTGAATCATACCTTGGTTCTCTCTTTCTTGGCCTTATCCAGTTTGTCCATCTCTACCTTCTGGGCTTTTGCTATAAAGAAAAAGAAGAGCACATGAGAGGACATGGACTTTATTTACTTTCACTTAAATTTCTTTTTCATGTCATTTTCCCCCCCAGAACTAGAAAGTTGTAGTAAAATACATTAGGGTCTGAAAATACATATATTTTTGGTGATGATCACCAACTGGCCTCTGACAACATGATAGTATCATTTAGGACATTTTTCCCAAGTTGACTTGAACGCCGCATGTCCTGTTGCGTTGCGGTAAATTCTAAGATTTTCAAGAGGAACTAAATTTACACCGGCAGATTTCCATTAGATTAAACAGAGTGATTCTTCATAATAATATTCGTGCACTGGGTCTGTGTGTGTTTACACAACTGCACCACTACAGGCCAAGGCTCAGGTTTTCTTTTGGCATCATTGACTGTTTTGATAGCATCAATTCTTCACACCTAAAATACAACAGAGCAGTTTCCATGGGCATCATTTCTTTTCATGCTGGTTTGTTGCATGTATTTATAGTCAAAGTTCAGACAGAAGTGAACAGACTATGGTAGTAAGATATTCATTTTTCGAGCACAAAAAACTATGAAATGATTCAAATTCCTTAAAATGAATGTAATTAATATTTAACATTTTCTTTCCAGGGCCGTGCCTCTGAAAGTTGTCTGCATGTTTGGGGGAGGGACAACACTGCACTAGGCCAAACTGCCTGTCCTGTACTGTATGTTACCTCTGAGATTAAAGCATTTTCAAGGCTTTTTCCACAAAACTACTGTCAAGTGAAAATGCAGCTGTTTACCTAGAGCTTCATAATAAGAGTCTTCTGACCAGCCGTGAGGATCAAACATGTCTTTGGGGTAGTTTGTCCCCACTTCGTCTATACCACTGAACTGGATCAGCTTCTCGTAAATACTGGAAGAGACACAATAAAAAGGACAGAAAACATCAATGTTTAACAAATGATATATAATGAATAATTAGCATTGTGCTTGTGGTTCTGGTGTGACTTGTACCTTGGGTTTCTGAACTCCTTCTTTTTCTGGATGTGGCTGTTTATGTCCAGGTCTCCACGTAGCAGGTCTCCATACAGCTTGTGGATCTTGTCCTGGGACAAAACAACCAGCAGAAGTGATGGCTTTAACTCAGCAGATCACACTGTACGACTGTGCTGTCAGTATCTTCACACTAGTGCTCCTGTGTGAAAAGGAGCCACTGTATGATAGCCCTGAGAAAGATCTGATAGACAGTTGGTGGATGTGGGCAGTGACAGACGATGTGAATGAACAGTGAGAAAGATGAATGAGGAAAACATCTTTGGTATACTGACTGTACATTCTTCATGAACTCCCCCATCTTTAAGTCTGACAGGAGATGACAAGGCTCTAGAATTATATCATCATAATAATTTAACTTTTAAAAACCAGATCCATTAGTGAAAATACTTACACTTAATACTTAATTAATATTAACAAAATCGCCATTACCACATTTTAAATTCAATGTCAAAATAAAGTTGTTTCTACGACATTAGTGATTTGCCTGACAGTACTTAAGATTGTACATGTTTGGAGCCAGAGCCTGAGGGCTGGGATATCCAGGCAGTAATGGTGAAGGTGAGTCATCAGTTTACTTGACAGGTGGGATAAAAAAGAGAAAAGGCAGTGGCTTTGGTGGTGGTGGTTGGTGGTGTTAATCAGCCCAGTGGGGATTTTTTTGCTGAGCTGTTCACTTAGTCAAGTCAGCTGTGTGTCCTGACCTGCCTCTGCTTTTCACAGTGCAGTCGGCCGAAGCTCAAGATCAGACACAGAGGAGTGTGGGTGACAAAAGACAACAATCATACTGCTTTAAAGACTCAGACCAACCTGAATTTATGTAGCCACCGGAATGTATTTCTGAGGCCGGAGGGACTAAGTGAAAGTTAGTAATTATTCATGAGCAGCAGGTCATTTTGGCTGCAGTGCAGCTGTGATGACAAACCTCTGAGTGATCCTGCTCTTAAAATATTTGACTTTAAGCACTTGACCTTGAACTTTAAACTCTGACTTCTGTGCCGGTACAAAAAGAGTATGTAAAGAGTGCAAAGTTTTCTTCTGCTTATGAAATCAAAAAATATTCGTTCTACTGGGACGAATGAGCAACGGATAAATTATTTATTCAGAAAGGAACAGCAGCCAAAAGTCAGGCCAAAACACAACAAAGAGAAACTCGACAGTTCTATTTAGCTCACACACGCACGTATGCACGCATGCACCTTCACAACTTGCCTAATGAGCAGACAAAAATAAAATGGTATAAAAATTACTTTAAAGTAGTAGTCCTAATCTGTCTGACTAATTTGTAACTTAGTTTTAGTTCCAATTTAGTCAATAAAACTGTTTTTAGTAGTAAAAATCTAATGAGCGATATTTTCATACTCATAACATTCACTAAATTCTCATAAAATTATTATTGGGTTTTTATAGAATTCTGTCAGGAAGATGTGATTAGACTTGGTCCTTTCAAGATTTTCAGTATTGTTTCTCGTTGTGGTTCAGCATTTGTCTTGGATGAAATTATTTAGTCGACGAAATGATGTCAAAGGCCGTGCAGTGATTGTGACAGAGGAGGAGTGTCTACCTGGAGTTGACTGGAGCAGCGTCCGGGGGGCTCCGGTGGCATCCTGATCTCATCAGGGGACATGCTCCTCACCTTCTCGGAGAATAGAGCTGAAGACAGAAAAGATAAACATGAGCCTACATACATCTGTGCTGCATGTCCATACCTGCAGAATGCACTATAGGTTACCACAAAAGAAATCACTGTTATACAACATGACTTTTAGAGGCAGTGGTAGAGCAGAGGATGCTGGGATATGGCTATGATGTGGATAACATGATTCACATGTTCACACTGTGACAAAGGCTGCTGGATGAATTCCTGAGCGTCCTGTTGTTCATCACAGAGCTGAGTGTGTGCCATTGGGTTTTATGGGACACAGTGGTATGAGGAGTGTATGTTCTGAGTAGGGCAGGGCAGGGCAGGGAGTGGCTGCTGTTCAGGCTTGTTAAGAAGAAGGGAGGCTCCCCATCTCCTCCTTCCCCTCCTGCCTCTCTACTCCTATTGGATCCTCCCTTGTTTTTTGCTCTCTGCGTGCTTTTACTGACTCCAGGCCAGGCATTCTTCAGTGTCACACTGTATCCCAGTCAGACAGATAGACCTTACAGCCGCTCAGCACCAACAATAAACCTCTGCATACGTGCATTTGTGTCTTCTGAGCGTGCGTGTATTGCGAGGCTGCAAATTGTCTGCAAGTAAAAACTTGACTGGACAAGAAGAAGGCCGTTCTCATCTTCTTCTTCTTCTCATCTTAAAACGCTTGAGCACCTTGTCTCATAAAGAAAACACACTCAATCACACAGAAAGAAAATTCCACAGATGTGGGCTGTGATAACCCTTTGTCAACAAGTTTTACTTGTGATTCTGATTTCCAGTCATTCTCCAGACAGTTCTGCAGATCATGTTCATTATTTTCTGATGACACATGCACTTTGTTTTCTAAAAAAACTTCTTTAACTTTGAAATCTTTATTTGTTATAAAAATGATAAAGTCCAGTGGCCAATAAAGACTTCCTAATTCATCAGTTTGACATCACACACTGTCCTATAGGATTGAGACTGTGGAGTGTGCAGCCTGACAGTTCCTCTTACAGAACATGGGAGCGTAACTTGTTTGTACAACTACCAGTTTTAAATCCCAGAAAATAAGTCTTGCAGCCCGTCTAACAGATTATAACCAGACAGGACAAGTCTGATGAGTCACATTCATTGCTGTGGTAGCAGCTTCCTCACATCTGCCTCACACTTTAACACTGTCGTAGATAACGAAACCTTGCAACAGAAGGTTCACAATTTCATTTGTGAGAAGTAAATATCTCTGCTTGTTATTCAGCCACTGCAGCAGCAGTACAGTCAGGAAGGACATGGACACAACGGACAGTGGACCAGATTATATTCAGCTTCAAAGTTTCCATGTGACTTCCTGAAAAACAGGCCCGAATATCACAATCTGTGCCCCAGAGGTCTCTGAGGACGGACAGTCCCCTCCCTTCACTGGAGGGACAAAGGCTTGTCTTCAGCCATCTGACAAGAGGCCTTTTGCCAGACGTGCTGTGACATTTACTGACTGAGCAACACAGAGGGGCACAAGCTCCCGCTGCAGGAATGTTAAGAGTCAGGGCCCAGCTGTGACTCAGAGTCTGACACTGGGCTACAGTATACTGATGTGAAGATGGAGGCAGGGAGCAGATCTGTGGACGGAAGCCAACACAGACGAGCACACTGCTGCTACTTATGTTGTTTCTACCTCTACCACAGAGAGGGAGGAGGTTACCAAACAACAATAATAGATAGAAAAAGAAACTTCATCGCCTTGAGGAATTTTTTCTGGACAAAAAAAAAAAAAAAGACTATTTTACTTCCATTAATTCGTTTTTTGTAATGTCAATGCTACTAGTGGCCTCTGGCCCCCTGGTGAGTTGTAGGGCCACTTTGGATGGACTCATAAATAAGTAATAAGTAGATGCACTCAGTCTTGTTATTAAAATAATTAATTATTCAGACATACTAAAACAAAGCCCTGGGATTTTGGTACACAGAGGTCTTCGTTTGGACATTTTAAGAGGTGGTACAGGATTTGAGCTTAATGGACTTGAGTAATTTAAAATATGTTTGTTAATTTTAGCAAATATTATTAATTTCATTATTTTCAAGGCTACACTGTAGCTATAATTGGCCCTTTAGGTGATGTTTATTAGGTTTTGCAAAAAAAAAAAAAAACGTAGAAGGTAAGGAAGCCTATAAGTACAATTTTCACTCAGACTTTACCAAAGTTAACCTCAGTAAGGATAGGAAATGTATAATAAACATCTCTGTGTTGTAATTTTGTGACGTTTAATGACTGCAAACAAATCACATCCTGTCCATAACGCGTCACTGAACAATCGCAGCCATTATCTGATTGAGCTACAGGCCCGTATACACAAGGGTTCTGTATCAAACATTTATGATCTGACATGCCAGTGCACAAAAATGCCACACCCAGTACAACTCACTTGCTGTTGGATCTGACACTCACCTGTACACAAAGGAACCTTTACAGGTCAGTCATTACTCATTAACCACTAGTTAGAGCTTGATGACCCACCTGTTGGTTGCCTTTATAACTCAGTTCAGGGCTTGTTGGTGATTCACACACTTGGTGTAGAAACACCCAAATACAATCTCAACTAAACAGACTCATTCACACAATTAACACTATTAAATTAACTTTACAAGTACTTTGATTAAACTGGTCAGCAAAGCTGCTGTCAAGAATCACCAAAGGGGGCGCCAAAAAGTCCTAAAAAATCAAGTATTTCTTATTTTTCCTAAAAAAAAAACCATAGAACAATTCAGAAGTAATGGACAAATACATTTTATGGGTCATCTTGCCCAAAAAAACAGGGACATAAAAAGTCCTTACCAACAAGTTCATTCGGGTCTTTCTTCTCTGCCTCTGAGATCTGTACAGAAGAGAAGGATAGGGATGGGAGAGGGAGAAGGAGAGAGTTTGTTTAGGTACTTTTACAGTTGAAAATTAAAGCCTTAACTGTTAACAGAATGGAAATATTATGAGATATTCAGGTGCACCATGTCCTCTGCCTATCAAATATTATTTACAGGAGATTGTGTTGGCGGCAGATTGCCCCTCAGCTGATATGTTTGTGACGAACAGGAAGGAAACAAAAGTTGATTCCATTACTGCTGGAAACGTCATAAATCACAGAGAGCAGCAGACAACAAGGAGAAGGGTTTCAAAGAAGCACTGAAATCAGAATAGTAAATCTAGGCAGTCTTCAGTGAAGTCTCAGGAGCAGCAGGAGAAGGTGGAGCCTCAGAGAACCTCTAAAATATGCAGCTTGTTGTGCCAGCACTGTGGGCAAAACACAGGTTCGGCACACAAAACACTGCTGTTATTCACAGGCATCACACACAGTCACCTAGCAACCACATGGCCACATCGAAGAATTGTCCTGAGGTTGACTAAATCACGAGGAGGAGGAAAGGGGAGAAGCGATAGAGGGGTTGGAGAGCCTGTTGATGAATCCAGTCTGAAAATAAAACAAATATCACCTGGAAATTTAGATGCAAACAAAAAGGATGCATTCATTTATGCATTACATTTTTTCTTTAACATCTTGTGCCATTTTTTGTCTTAAGTGGAAGTGAAGAGAGTGAGAATGTAGAGCTGATCAAATTTAAAGATAGAACACATATATTAAATATACATATATATAAGTATATGTCAAGTGAACCAACAGCTTCTTTCTGCTAGTGAAAAAAATGTGTTGTATATGTTTACCCCATAATATAAAAACATAGATAAACAGGAACTGACAACCAATGACTAGATTATTTTGTGGGTAGATAAACCTTCAGATTTTAAAATGATTAAGATTTTAAATCTCTCTGGACTAGAGGTCATGCTTTTTTAGTATTTTGGCTGGTCCTGCGACATACTGTATGTACCAGAAACATATTCTCTGTGTCATCAATGGCCACAAGAGGGCACCGTCTAAATTCGTGACTACACACCACTAAACACTCATTCATGGACTCTAGTAAAATAAATGTTTTAACAATAGATGCCACTTAAATATCTGTGCAACTGATACGTGTATTTTACAAACACTCTTGTTTGCCTGGAAATCTCTAAATATAGATGAACTGGTCTTAAACCCATGATTACACCAATATCCAAGTTTGGACAATGAATCTCTGGATCCTTCAGTGATGGCACCAATCAGAGTTCAGAAGGTCATGGGAGTTACTGTCAACAACCTCCACCGGGGGCTGGAACATCTGTATCATATTTCATCCTCACTGAACATGGCAGATGATTTTGTTTGACAGATCCATCTGGAAAAGCTTTGTTTGAAATAGTTTGAATAAGTCGAGTTGTTTAGGAAAAAAAGAAAATACAGTTGGCACCAGACTGAAGTATGTGTCTATGAAAGTTGGCAAACTCTTGGTAGAAAATTCTTGTGCGACATAGTCAGGGCTCGAGTCACAGCAATCCTTTATCTGTTATCTAATTAAGAATCCATGTTTTTGATAAACTGATGCTGAAACAGCAGCTTCGGGTGGAACTCCTCAAGCTTTTTTCCTAGGAGCTTGATCCTGATTGGGCAAAACAACTGAGATTCTTCAAAGAAAATACATCTTGATTCCGAGAACAAGTGATTCAACGTAGTGCATAATATGTTTGTGTCCGATAAAATATGTGAAAACATCAATCATTCTGGCAGACCAATTGATCTGTCAGTCTTGTTAGACTTCATTATAATCAATCAGCCTTGGTTAAATTAGCATTGTCACATTAACCCTTTCTGCTTCATCAATGACTTCAAACTGCACTAAAATAAGACTAACGTGACCTGGAAGGACAACAATAATTGACACTGTTATCTACTTAGTCTCATGTTGACCTTGCCCTGCTCCAACTGGGACAGGGTCCAGCTTTTAAGATGCTTAAGAGGATATTCTTAATGGAAAAACAAAACAGGCCAAGAATGAAGTACTGCAGTTTATACCCAATAGAGAATCCTGTTCTAGTAGTCTTAATATTAATTAACATTAGAATTAAAGCTTTTGACTTCCATGATTAAAAAAAAAACAATGGTCAGAATATTTCAGTTCTAAAACAGATTTTCCAATTTCAGCTCCTCCAAAGTGAAATTTTTCTCTTTCAGGACAGACCACACCCAATGGTAACATCTGCAGTGGCTAAAAGCCTTCAGTAGGTTGTTATGTACTTCAGAACTAGCTGAGCTATTGATCCATAAGTAAATGACACACATTAGACAGACACCTGTAAGTCTTTTAGAATTATGAGACAACAGAGACAGGCAGGAGCTGAAGTGCAAGAGCAGCAACCACTTCACTCTGCATTTGGACTCTGACAGACTTTATTTTAGATGAAAGCGCACTAACAAAACAAGTGTGTAAACTCCACACCTCCTATTGAATCTGAGACAACACTCGGCCACTAACCAATGGTTTCTTTTCTCTTCTTTTTTGGTTTGAGGACATACTCAACCGAAAGCTTAATCATTCAGAAGCCATCAATCAGAGCCTTAGAGTTAAAATAATCATCTCAGAAATGTGCCCAGGTTAGGTTGTACAGGACAAAAGTCTAAGATGTCTGAAAGTAAGTTTGCAATACAGTAGTGGAAATAATGGTGTTTTTTTTAAATTAAATCTATCCTTTCTACATTACCTTCTTATCTTTGTTTCCATATAAAAAAACTTTTTTTTGTATTAACATTCACAAATGTTGGTCTGTATAGTCAGATATGCAAAGTAAACTTTTAAGAATAACTGACAAAAGCATTTTAATTTGTTAGAACTCAGAGAGAATTGACTTGTTAGAATTGTTCAAACCAAGTTCTGCAGATACATTTTCTTCAGTTTCTGTACTGTGCTGTGCTTGTAGATGTCATGTTAAAATGTCTTTAATAAAGATGGCTCCCACTACAACACCCCCCACTTTGGGAAGCACTAATCTAAATGACTAATCTTTACAATAGTTTAAAAACATGTGTAATGAAATCTCATCACACCACAGCAATGAACAGTTTCGACATCACAACGTCCGGACAGGAATTTAGGAGCATGACTGATCGCAAACTAAAAAAGACTTAACAAAGAACAAGCTTCATCCACTGGAGGCTTTGTGAGTCACTCTCACCTTTGCAAAACACACAAAACGACACAGCAGGAAACACACATACACACACACAGAAATAGACATACACGTACACACATGGGCGCTTAAAGCTAACCACTGCTCCCCTTGATGATGGGTTAAAAGCAGAGGCTCAGTTTTGTTGCACCCCCCTGGTACAATGACAATACAGACCATAAAATACTTTTTTTTTTTTAATTAAAAAGATACACACACAGTGTGGGGTTAGTGAGGTGCAGTCGCGCAGGTCCCAGCAGCAGTGTGAACTGAGGTGTATCACCGTTGGTCCAGTTTTTTACTTTAAAAGAGGTTTAAGGAACGTGAAGCGGTTCTCAACCAGTAACTTCGAACAAATTGTTCACCGACACCGACCTGATGTCACCTACATAAAGTTCATCGTTATCTGACAACACATTATTTAAACCACAGCACCATCTAGTGCACATGCCTCTTCATTACATTCAAGTGTTTTTTTTTTCTTCACTAAGTGTGGGGTTAGTCATAGAACAAGGGAGTTGCGAATTCGTTTTCAGAGCTTATCCAGCCCAGGTGTCCAAAATACCTCAACATCATCAGCGTCTCTCCCCTCGTCAGATTCTTCCACTTCCTATAAGAACAAAAATGCAAGGGGTTAACACTGGGTTCAGGAAGGAGAAGAGCCTAGGAGAGGGAAACCAAGCAGGAGTGTTACATGGCAACCAACGACCAGTAATACATTCCTTCCCCCACAATTTGTTTGTTATCAACTTGTACAACAATAAAATGAACATACACAAAATGAAACAGTCCCTTGATATATCTTTGGGGGTCACTTGAAACTTCTGTGGATGTGAAGCAAAAACAAAAACCAACCAAATAATTCCATACTAACCGAGTTGCTTTCTTTGCTGTCTTCATCTCCAGATATCTTTTCTTCTTGGTCTTCAGTTGTGTTAAGATCATCCCCACGGTAGCCATACACCAGACCTGTACCTGCACCTCCTACCCCAGGACAAAGAAAAGATTTGAAAACAGGATTTTTAGGGGTAGACAAAAACAAAAGGTGACAATTTGAATCTGCTAAATGTTTGAGTATGAGAATTAAGTGAATCCATTGATGACAAAACAAATAAGAACTTACAAGTACCCTAACTTCAGTTTTAGAACTGCAAATATTTCCTATTCTCGGTCCTCTATGACAGTTAACAGTTTTGCTTAAGAACATAAACGTTACATTTGTAGATATTTAAGTTGAGCGGAACGAATTCAAATGACCCATCTTGATGTTTTTTTAATTTTCATGTATTATTTTTCACGTGTTAAATGTTTAAATGTCTGCACCAATAATATAACATATACAATATGGACGTTTTACACGTTTTTAATTACGTTAGCAAAAAGTAAAGCTAAGTAAGGCACCTTGTTTTCCCAAAACTATGTATGGTGTACAGAATACATAAGTACCTCTACAAAGGTGCGTAACCTTATATAACGTTTTAAATAGTTTTGTTTTTACACCTAATTTAAGCCAGCTGTTAGCTAAATTAGAGAGCCGGCTAAAAGCTAACGTTAGTTACAGCATGAAGCCGAGGAACTATTTTGCCGTCGTTGACGGTGCTCTGACAACATTGTAGGTCATTTAAATTATAAAGGTCGTTATTGAATACCTGTTTCTTCTGTCTCTGAGTCAGAATCCGCTTCTGAATCGTCGACATAATCCACCAAAGAGGACAGTGGAGTTTTCTTCTTAGCACTGGCCATTGCTATTTCATGCGTCGCGTAAACGTCTGGGCGCAGGATATTAACGTCATGTTATCTTACTGCGCATGCTCCAAAATGCAGTATTCAAGGACAGTAAGAGGTTTTGTTTTTAGATAGATAGATAGATAGATAGATAGATAGATAGATAGATAGATAGATAGATAGATAGATAGATAGATAGATAGATAGATAGATAGATAGATAGATGGAACTATTAATCCCCCAGGAGTTCCCTTTGGAAAATTAAGAAAGTTTGGCCTCTTTTCACTGAGTGTAAACCAAAAGTCAGTGTACCTAGGAAAAAAGTATACACTTAGTTACATAAAGAACTTCACACATGAGGTGAAACAGCCAAGAAACAACAAATACTTGTGATTTATTTTAAAACTGCATCAGCAAAGTCGACATTTTACACAACACATTCCATTAAACCCTCAGAAACATATCTGGATATCTGCCCTTTGTTTTGTACACATGTGACCATTCCAGTTCAAAACACAAGTGCACATTCTGTTTCTTTCTCTTTCGTTCTAACAGGCTCTCCACAGTTTGTACATTGATGTTCCTCCAAACAGGAAGTTATCTAGATAACGCTGCCCTTCTTCATCACCTTCTTCTTCATCACATTCTGTTCTTCATTGTTCCTGCAGCATCCATACAGTAGAGCGAAGATGACCAGAGACAGGGTTCCCAGTGCAAACACTCCTAACACCACCACACCACCCAGGGCCCATGGCTCCTGATGCAGCCGACACATGAACCACTCCACCCAGTCCTCAGGTGACCATGTAGGATCGTAACCCTTGCAGTCACTGCACAGGGAAAAACACACCATATTAGAGCTGAAATGAGAGGGCAAACCTGATGTGAAAAACAAATGAATAAAAGGTACCTCAAATCAGGCGTCATGATCAGATTATGTCTCGAAAACCTATGAAACAACTAACATGCTGTAGCCATAACAGCCTGCAACAATCATTTACCGTTTAAACCTTTGCTACCGAGGGAATAACTCACCTAACCACCACCATATCCGGATAAATGATTTTCTCACGGCTCAGTAATTCCCAACAGAGTGACCATGTGTGACAACAATAGACTTTAGCTGCTGTTCTGATCCACTCACTGTTACATGTTAGTGTAGAGGCAGTTAATTCAAAGGCGACCAACTCTGTTTTCCTGCTAAGGGCGCAGCCGAGTAGAGCAACGGTTCCTGGTTAATGTTTACTAAAAATATTGAACAGTAAATGCAAAGCAAATGCCCGATAAGGCAGCAGGAAAATCCTGCAGTGTTTAACTGGTGAGGTTTAGACATGATCAGATAATACTGAATTTAAAGTCTGATGAATGTTACATTTAAGAGTTCTGCTTGCTTCATGACTAGGCCGACATGAGAACCCACAGGTAAAACACCCGTAAAATGATTTTTGCCAAGTTTAATTTGTTGGTTTTTTTATTTTTTAAACACATCAAGTGTATTTTCTAAAACAGAAAAATAATAAACAAGGATAGAAAAACAAAATCAACATTTTTACATGAGAAAATATGTTAATAACTATGTTGTGTACATTAGAATAGACAACGGTAACAGTAATGCAACTTAATTCAAGAAAATCTTTTAAAAAACACCTTTTTTATCATAAAGCAGTTTTAGAAATTCCCAAAAAAAGACGTTTTAGTTCAACTTTTGTTATAATAAGTAATTTCATTAAACAGACACAGTACTGTTTACTGTTACATATTTACAAGTAATCCTACAAAGCGTTTCTACAATGTTAAACAACAATAACATTTTATAGTGTTAGTGTCAGTAACCTAACCTAATTATATACATTTGACCAGTAGAGTGCACTGTGGGTTATGTCCCAGAATTTCATAAAGGTACAGTACATTATGTCCCCATCTTCTCTTTACTGGGTTTTCTTCATGTTTTAACGAAGAATGAATAATATTTTGTTTTACTTTTTGTGACTTGAAGTAACAATCCTGAATTCCTTGAAGAAATGAAAAATACTTCATGATACTTGATTTGTCATTGAGTCAGTTTCCTTCCTCTTCTTCAGATGGCTGTGGAGGCAGGTTTGTAGATGCAGCCTGAGCTTTGGTCCTCTCCTGGTAGCAGAAGGAGTAGACGCAGGGCACCGTGATCATGAAGACCAACAGGACTGGAAGAACCAGAAGATAAAGTATCAGAATCAGTTAAAGGTACAACACGTACTACACATACTAAAATTTAAGGACAATCCCTGAATAAAGAACCCCAGCTTAGTATGAGAGTAGAGTCTTTTGTATGTCCAGTAGATTTACTTGCTCATTCAGACATTAAAGCCGTAGCAACTAGCTTCAAAAACAAACAGCTCACTGTCTGCTGACCCCTGGGACTCAGACCTCAGAGACACAACAAGATGGATCCGTTTTTTAATTAACGTACAGGGCTAAGAGGAGGGTTCATCAGCTGGCTGCCATAACTGATCATCTACCTTCATCTCACACTAAAACTTTGCCACAAAGACTGTTTCACTAAATATTTATAATACAACATGCATGAGTCTTTCCTTCTGGGCCCTCTATTGTCCATGTAGAGTGGCCACAGTTTCGTTGCCACTCTAAATGTGTCTCCAGGCTGCTCAGCCTCAGCTGTTCTTCCCAATTTCTCCCGCTGTAGTCCTCGTCATCCAAGTGCCCTCAGCTCTCCTTCTACTCTAAAGGATTACAGGTCTTCAAATGGAAGATTTGCAAACTTTTTGTTTCTTGTCATGTTTAGTCATTAGTTAGCAGGCAGGACCCAATTGCAGCACTAGGGAGACTTTCTTCAAGTGCAGGGAATTTATTCACAACTCACTGAGTATCAGGAACAACAACTACAAAGAGCAGAAGGAATGGAAAGGAAAGTGAACTACTCGTCATTGTGACACTGCACACAATAAAATGTGACCTCTGCTTTTAACCCATCACCAGGGTGAACAGGGGGCAGCTTTAAGGGGGAGCAGTGAGTGGGGACGGTGCCAACTCCAAGAAATACATCAAGGCACAACTACCAAGCACAAAGCATGACCACAGCCATTGACCGACGTATACAGAAAAATGACTCCACAAAGACAGGGTGAGGTAGAGAGGTATATATACCCAGGACACTAGGTGACACCAGGTGAGTGTGATGACACTAATCACCTCCACACACTGACAGCAGGGGAGGGGGCAAACCTCACAGTTTCTTATACAGATATCAACAAATGAGTACAGCAGAAATAGAATCTCCAAAATTAAAGTTCACGAGCCATAGAATAATCAGTAGTCCACACTGTAGTTTGATTTGATGATTGACAAAAACTCACCAATGAACAGGACTAGAACCACAAAGGCTCTCTTCTCCAGGACGTTGGCCTGAGGGAGATCTACAAGTTTGTTGGACACCTTCTGAAGAATTTCCAGCACCTCCTCCTTCACACCCATGCTGACTCTGAGATGTGCAGCCGATTAATGAATGAATTGAATACAGGAGCAAGCGGAGTTTGCAGACCTGATGCACTGCAGCGCTGGAGGAAGACTAGATGTACGTGGGCTTCACTGTTTCTGACAAAGTTATTTTCTTATGCAGCTCCACCCTTAACTGCTTCCACCCTGCAATTACTCCTCAAGGCTGGTGGAGCTGAAGTAGTCGTGTACACCATCACCCTGAAATGATGACTAGTGGTACATCAGTGCTGTAGCTGTAATGAATCTACTGATTACTGCGTTGTATTCAAGTGTACATACACCTACAATACTTAGGTGTCTCAGCTGTGGTCTAACACTCAGACAGATTGTGTCGATCTGTGTGTTGTCTCACAGTCGGAGTACATTCATATCCAACCTCCTCCACGTAGAGTTTAATTATAAACCAGGAAAACTATTTCCAGCCTGGCATTTCAGGAGTGTGTCCAGTCCTCCTCAGCAGAGCAGCTGTGTGTGGGTGAGTTGTCGGCTGACACCAGTGAGGACACTGGACTGTGACGTGGAAACTCAGGACATGAATGAGAAACACTGGAAGTTATTGGATTAGTATAATCCTTGTAATGAAAACACTGTGTTATTGAAGTTGTCTGCACGTCTAATGTCTGGGATACTTCCCAAAACCCTGGGTCAGGACCCTGAGATGGGTCTTAAATATATAAACATGGCATCACGTTCATGTCTCTGCTTAAGAATAGCAAGAATATAATTAAAATACCAAGGACAAAGTCAGTACGTCCTGTGAATGGTTCCTTTAAACGGTGCACAGTGGCAAATGTGGTTAGAACACTCTTCAGCAAAAACATCATTGCTCCTCCAGTTTTTTCACATACAGTTTGACAGTCTGGGTTTCTTTCTTCTTACATACATAAAGATGAACATTTTGAAGAGCTCACTTGGAATGTTTAATTAATTGCAGAACAGCAGAAGCTGCTGAGCTGATAACCCAGAGGTCAAAGGGTCAAATCCATCATCTGCTCACAAATACATCAAAAAGGTTTTCCAGATGGTAAACTATGAAGGACCAAATATCATCTTGAGTCGAATTTCATGGAAACAATTAATCATAACTGTTGACTTTTAAATCCAAAAAGGTTCTGGAATTGCTTAAAGAACATTTTTATTTGAACATCTTTCAATGTTTAATGTATGTTCACTTTAACGTTAATATCACTAAAAATGTACAATACAACGGTAACATTACAACACATTCACAATTTTAAAAAGAGAAACTATACAAAAATAAAAATGCTTTCACTTGACCTACAGAGGGCACTATACCCCTTATGCCAACAAGTATCCCAGTCTTCATTGTGCAGTATGCACAAAACTGTCTGTATGTATTTTCCAGTTCAAAGTCACTTTTCTGAAAGGATTTTTTTCACACTGGAAACTTCTTCATGTTGGTGAATCGTCCACACATGTCTCATTGTCCTCCTCCTGCTCCATGAATAAAAAACCCAGAGCAGATCTTGTGTTGTTGGGGGTCCTTTGTTGAAGGAAAATACTGTCTTGTTTACTACTTGTTTACTTTTGTAAACAATTGTATATTTACTGTGTTTTTTGTCATTAACTGAATCTTGGAGATGAGGACACTGAGGACTGAAGATTTGTTTAGTTGGAGTCCACTCCCCCATGTCCCCTCTTCAGACCGGCTGTAATGGCTGAACTCTGGTCGCCTGGTACTTTGGTTTGCCACAGAAGCAGCAGCAGTGGATACAGCAGAGCAATATCATGAAGAGGAACATGGCTGAGAGGAGAATCAGAAGCAAAAGACAAAGGTTAATGACCTGTTGACAACCTCACAGACATTTCTCAGCATAATGGATACAACTCACAGACAAAGAGGATGAGTATGACAAAGGCCCCCAGCTCCAGTGGACTGGCCTGTGGGAGACCTTGTAGTTTGGACATCAGCTTCTGGAGAATGTCCATCAACTCTGCCTTTATGTCCATGCTGACCTCAGATCTGCAGAGCTGATTAAATAAGCAATTATCAATAAGACATTTTTTGATTAACTTGTCATAAAATGGTTGTCCTTGGACTTTTACTTTCTAAGCCCAAACTTTGGAGCCCAAATTCTGAAGTTTTTCCTGGTGACATTAGATTATTGGGTTGGACTTAGGATTTAGCTGTTTCTCTGTCAGTCTCGACGCTAAGAGCTTTATTGATCAGTGTCAACAAACTCTACCTTAACTCTAATTTGCATGTTGATCCAAGCGTGTGGACTGGAGCTGTCTCCAGCTGATAGTAAAAGAAAAACGAGTCAGTCCAAAGAATGTTTGACCTCTGAAAACTCCTGCAGAAAGTTCTCTTCTTGTTTTTGCACTCAGGCTCAGTATTCAAAGCTGTCAGCTGACAGCTGCCCTGCTCTGAAAAACATGACTCTGGTTCCTGGATGCACACACAGTACAGTGAAAAGGCAAAAACAAGCTCCTACCTCTGCAGCTGCTCTCCTGCAGTTTCCACTTGTAAACAGTTGGCTGTGAGGAGTCAGTTGTTCCCAGCACAGGGTTCTCAGGCCTCCTTCTTACGACTCCGTTCAAACACCCACACTCCTGTGTTTGCTCCGTTTCAGCGTATGTGATTTTCCACTGTTTGTTTGTTGTGAAGTCTGCTGGTCTCAGGCTCTGTCTCCGGTTCAGGCAGGGAGAGAAGGGCAGCAGCAGCAGCAGCAGCAACAGGGCTGGAGCTCTGGAGGTAATTTGACTCTGTGAGCAGACCAGCAGCAGTAGTAGAACTCCTGTCCTGCTCACTTTCTCCCAGTTAGAGTTCTGTGTAAACCTCCTTCTCTCCTAACCCCCCTCTGCTCCTTCACTCTTCCCAGTGTCTCCACCCAGATCCGGTCAACATCCAACGACGTCCAAAATGTAGTCATTCACTGCTGCTTACGCCGTCTCTCACTCCCCCTCACCCTCTGTGCTGTCTGTACACATATTCACTCTCTGTTGCTGGAGAGCAGCTGTGCCAGGGCCTCTTTTTTTGTCTCCAGTCACCCTGGAGATGAGAAAGTCTCTAAAGGGAGCTGGGGGTGGTGTGTGTGTTTGCATGTGTGAGTGTGTGTGTGTGCACATCCATCTGTGGCCCAAATTTCCCAGGAGCAGACGTGTTCAATTCTTCAACTTGTTTTAGTCCTTGTAAACCAGGTAATCGACAAAAGCTTTTAGGCCAGTGTACACGTTGAAAGGCAGCTGGTCAACATATGTAGCCCAGATGAACGGCCTTGTTAAACCATGCCCAGTTACCCAGGTAGCCCATGTAAATGCCTTAAATGCTGCAGTTTATTCACAAAAGTATTAATAAATGAGACAGAAATATCTAGAACAAAGTGTCATCAGAACCCTTCTGAAATCCCTACCCACATCTATACACACTGTTAGCCTAAATACATTACTTGAGGAATATAGAGCTACCTCACTGACCTGACAGGTTTTGTGAATAGATCTAATTGTCACATAAAAAATGCCACATTGTGTTTCCAAACATGAAACACTGACTACAATTACTCACTTTTTAGTCACAGTTTGTTTAATCACTGACACTGTTCATGACTTCATCGTCATATGTCACAGAAAAGTTCAGAAACATGACGCGGTACCACAGCTGAAGTCAGCACAGAGCCCTGATCCACAGTCAGATCAAAGTCATGCTGAATATTATTAATAACTGCAGATCACTGGCCTCGGTTTGAGGTGTTGTTTGTTGTTTTCACTGAGATTCACTTCATCCAACTAGATTCTGTGACTGAGTGAACCATTGCCTGATGAGGGTCAGAAGTTGAATCGTAACAATGGGCTGATTTCCATACAGCACAGTCAACCAGAGGCCTGAGTCTGAGAAGTCTGACAGCTATTTGACCTTTAGACCTCTGGTTGTGTCAAACACAGGACAGCCCACACACCCTGACCCCAAACAATACTTCTCCCCAGGGCTGTTACTCTGACAAAAAGCAGTAATAATAATAAATTGGCATTAATATTCATACATACATTAGCATAAACACTGCTATAGATGTACAAAAAAACAAAACAACATATTGTCATTTTTGAGTAAGTTTAGTGTACTTTAGTGTCTTGACTCCAAAAATCCTAATCTGTTTGTCTCACAATGTCTGTTTCTGATTTCAGTGAGCTGTAAAAACAGAAGAAATACAGCTTAGAATTCTTAGTTTAGAACCATTCTGGACAGTTATCTTCAAAACTATCTTCCACCACACCGATTAATGTCACCTGTTAGCCCATCAGCTCAAGTTCCAAACACACTGGTCATTTCTGCACAAACCAATGTTTTAATCACATTCAACATAATTGTGCAATAACATGCAAATCTGTGCTGATTTGTGGCGCAGACATCTGGATTCAGATGTCTGAGAATGTGATGGTGGAGCACTGTGTGTGAGAGGTGATTTGGTTTAGGCTGGATCCTCCCAGAGCTGCACCCTGAAACGTTTCCATTCTAGTCATAGCAAGAACAGCTGGTATTGATAAGGCAGCAGTGTTTGTGTGTTTCATATAATTTAACCACAGTCCTCGGAAGACATGCTGGGCTCACGGCCATCGGTTCCTGTTGTCAGAAGGAATAAAAACAACTCTTCTGACAGTGTTTTATTCTAGTGTGTCAACAAGGCCACACCGGCTTGTTGTACAAAAGGACATGTGAGCTGGTCATGTCAGAGCATTTTAAACCATACATCAATAACAGAAGTAGACAACCGGAGGAGGGGGTGGTACACATCATGGTGTATGTTTTTCCTCAATATCTGTATAATTTGTTGAACGACTAGGGTGACTTCTTTCTTTAAAAGCGTGACTTTTAAATATTATACTTATACTTATACTACACTATAAATATTTGATACTCACATAACTACGTTGTATTGTGATACTACATAAAAGAATCTCTAATGTGTGGAAAGCCAGTTTTAGAAAGTCATCTCGCCATCTGGTGGCGTAAACACGACATAACACTATTTATTGGCTCATGTTTTAAATAGCGCTGAGGCTTCTTGAGTCAAAACACATGCTGCATATTTCCATCCAGAAATCCACCAGGAACTGCATATCCAGTATATTCAGCTTACCACTTTTATTTCTCTATTTTCTCTCTTTTTTTAAATCATGGTTTATCAACTGGGTCGCATATTTGAGAGTTGAAAAAATTACGAAAATGTGTTTGCACGGCTATCGATTTATCAAACAAAAAACAAAAACATTTTCCTGCGTCAAAAAGTGCAACATTTCGGTTTAACTTTTGTGACATCGTCCATTAATCATTTAGGTTTTCTCCAGTTAGAGTAGTGATTGACAACCACTTTAAAAACAACAAAACAATCCAAGATGGCGCCCCCATAAAGAAGGTCCATTGCCTAAAGTATGTATTATAATGTGTTTATGTCGAAACAATTACTCACCATTCTTAAAGCTTTAATGTTACATTCTTATGGACACTAAATGTAACTTCTTATAGTAAAATGTGACGCACTAGACTTTGAAATTGCTTTACTCGAGTTGAATATTTACAAGTAACACTTGAAGGCGTCACGGAGCGCCTTTGTGTGTGTGTGTGTGTGTGTGTGTGTGTGTTGCAGCATCACTGCCACGTCTGTCCGGCGCTTAGCTGTGTGGGATGGGCGGGGGGAGGAGGTGGTGGAGGGTGTAATTGCCGGGAGTGACCGAGGAGGAGAAACAGAGGAGGAAGAGAAGGAGGAAACACGTACAACCACAACAACAGCAGCTCCCGCCTCAGCCTCCTGGAGGAACCGTGCTGCCTTCAGCTCCATTGTTCCGACACGGAGCCTTGTCCCCCGGCTTCAGAAAGAGCAGGACGCAAAGGCTTTTTTTTACCCATGTTGAGTGCAGGAGGAATGGAGGATTTTGTGACCGAGGAGGAGGAACCATGGTACGACCAGCAGGATCTGGAGCAGGGTAAGAAGTGATGAAGCACGACACTCATCAATTCAACCATCCATCCATCCATCCATTCATCCATCCATCCTCCCTCCGTGCCCGGCCCTGACAGCAGCAGCATCTTCCCTGCTGTCAGCCGATGGCGCCGGCCGGTCAGCTGCTCCTCCATAACAAAGAGCTTCCTGTCATGATGACGTCAGTCACGATACATTAGCTCCATCACCTCTGACAGCCAGTGATGCGATTAGTCTTATTTGACAACAACAGCATGGGATTACTTCCTGTTGGGATTATCTGATAGTAATCATTTACAGCTGGATATAACCCACCTCCATTAGCCTGGTGTCTGCCAGCCTTGTGGCCCACATGTGGTGTCCAGACTGTGGCCTGTAACCCAGGTGAATATAAACCAAAGTTGGATCTCTTCTGGCTCATGTTATTGATACAATCCAGTAGCATCTGTATGTGGGAGATTTCTGACGACGACGCATCACTGACAGGATCGGGGCCGAGTGTGGCCCATTGAACCAAATGTTGGTGTACAATGAGCCAAATCTGGGCCACAATCTGCTATCTGTTAATGTCAGCTGCAGAAGGGTAGTAATATGGGTTGTAGTGTTTGTAGGTTTTTTTCTCACAGTTATGAGCAGAACCTGCTGCTTGATCATTTAAATGTTGACTGATTGAAATGGACTATGTATAAACATTTTCAACCTTCTCCAGACAGAGTTAATGTTTGCTTCAAGTCCAAGTCTCAGCCTTTATCACTTCATAATATATTCAAGGATAGCAAAAAAAAACTTTATTGGAACACGTTCCTCTCCAGCTCCCATTTTCATTTGAATAACTCATCAGTGTTCATAGACGTTGCTCTTTTCTGCATCACTTCCTTCATTTCCTGTCTCCCCTTGTCAACTCCTCGTTACTTGTGCTGCGTCCAAGTAATTATAACAGCTACATTTTCATCTGCACAAGAGCCTGTGTGCTGATGCAGAGATTTTTATTTACTACGAAGAAACACTCACAAGATCCACAAGACTCTGCATCAAATCTTGTCTGTTCCCCCTTGCTTCTGAAGACTTTATTTACTGTTTTCTTCTAGATTCAGCTGCTAATGATGAAGTATTTTCCAGAAGCGTTAAGAGTTGCATTTGCAAAAGTATGATGTCACACATTCCATCAGAGCTGGTGAAAATGCAGAATCACACAAATAACAAAAGAAATCAAAGCCAGGCCTCTGTGGCTGTCACTGTTTGGAGTATGCAGCAGCAGGACAGGAAAAGACAGGCAGAAAAGACGCCTTGTTTTCCACATTCCAGGGAATCTCTGGATGATTTCAACTTCCACAACTGTGTCTGTGGAAGAGATCAGTGTGCAGTGTAGACAGTATCCTCTGAGTGAGTGGGAGAACACAGAAAACTGCAACAAAAATCTGTCGTTCACCGTTTACACTTATTTAAAGACTCAAGTGTCTCCCGGTTGCAGCTGTTTTTCTGGAAGATTCAGGAAGTTTGTCCTAAACACATGACGTGGTCACATCTGGTTTCATCCTGTGTAGGTCACATGTGAGGTGATCGAGGGGGAATTAGATCTGAAATGCGAGTATTTTAATTTTCCCTAGATTTTCTGGCTCTCATCTTTTATCTTCAGATTATTTTGTGTTGATGAAACTGTGACATAAGTGTAATGTTAAAGAGAAAGTCAATATGGAAACAACATTTTTCATCGCAATGGTCAGTAAAATTGGATTTTGTTTGGAAAAGAAGTGATACAGCTGTGCCTGCTGTTTCTAAGAGATGAAGTTGTACAGGACAAGATGTTCCAGTTTGCAAAACCTCATGATACTGGAGTCCAACCAAAGCCATTAAATGGCTGAGTCAGCGTACAGTTGCGAAGGTGATCTGCCACTGAACAGAAGCACAAGAATATTGAGTATAGAAGGTAGAAATTAAAATAGATATTCAGAATATTTTTCAGTCTTTATTATTCCCCTGAGGGAAATGAGATCCTGCATCCATGAAAGACTTCACTGATTAACAGGGATCTGAACTTTAGCTGAGATGAGGAACACCAGAGTTTTAGTGCCTGCTCAATATAATACAGTCCTGTCAGTGCTGGGATTTGAACCAGCAATCCCTCATTTAGCAGCCTTGTCCTTGAATCGTCAGCTCACAGTTTGCCTTTTCCAGCCGTGCAGAATAGGAACAGTTGCAGAAGGACGTGCTGCAGGGAGAAAAGACAGTCTCCCATCTCTATTATTAAACCAGACACCCTCCATCATCCCGTTCCAGACTTTGCCTAAAGTAGAACTTTGCTCCATTAATCCTGATGGCAGGTCATCTGGACCGTACGTCGGCACTAAATCCTCACTCTCTCTTCTCTCTGATTCTGTCCGTTTTCCAGACCTCCACCTGGCAGCTGAGCTGGGGAAGACTCTGCTGGAGAGGAACAAGGAGCTGGAGGACTCGCTGCAGCAGATGTACATCAGCAATGAGGAGCAAGTGCAGGAGATCGAGGTGCTGAAGAGGACGGGTTATAACTGAGATGTCATTATTAACTTAAACACACAAAGCACCACCTGGAGGGAACAGGGAAAAAATAAAATATAGATTTAATATTTAGTGCCTGATCCCTGTGTTTGCTAGAATGACCACCAGAAGGTGACTCAAATGGTTCCTTTGTTAGTTAGTGAGGAAAAGTCCCTTCATTTTACAGAATAATTTTTTCACCCACTGTGATGCCAAACATAATTCCACTATTTTTTTTTAAACTTTTTAAAAAGTCTTTCTTCAACTCTGTGCAGTACTTATCGAAGCAGCTGGAGGTTCTGCGAGACATGAACGAGCAGCACGCCAAGGTGTACGAGCAGCTGGACGGAACCGCCAGAGAACTGGAACGTACCAACCACACACTGGTGACGGACAGCAAGACCTCGCAGCAGAAGATAGAAAGGTGAGGGGGGATTCTTCTTCCTAATTCTCCTAAACTCTGATTAATACTAAACATACACTCTTCCTTCTTGTTCTCCTGGCCCAGTCTCACAGGAACTATTGAGTCCCTGCAGAACCAGGTAGAGACCCTTTCTGGCCAGGTGGAGCAGCTGCGCTCCATGGAACAACTAAGAGTCAAGAGGGAGAAAAGAGAACGACGCAAGACCATCCACTCCTTCCCTTGCCTGAGGGAGCTCTGCACAGCTCCTGGGTACTCACTGATTCCTGTCAGTAGATATTGACAACGGGGAGCAGCACCGTTTCCATATATTTCAGCTGTGGTTTCACATCTTCAGGTACGAGGATGAGTTCGTAGTGGGTAGGGCCGAGAGCTTCACCGTGGAACCAAAGCGTCAGCCGTTCGAAGAAGAGAACCAACACCTGAGGGAGGCGGTGTCAGCCCTGCGAGCTGCCGTCCGGACAGAGAGGGGACGCAGAGAGGGCGTGGAGAGGGAGTGCAACCTCCTACTGGCGGAATATTCAAGGCTGCAGGGACGAGTGCAGGTAAACAGAAGTGTACTACAGTTTGAAGATGTACTACATAAAAAACCCAAATGTGAGGTGTTGGTCTGATTCAAAAATAAGATCTGTTTGTCTCAGCTGTGGAAAATTGTCTTTGTTTCTCAGGATGCCGAGGGCCACCAGGCCAGAGTACGTGAGCTAGAGGTGGAGCTGCAGGAGCTGCAGCAGCTCCGTCGCGCTCGGACTTTTCTTCTGAGTGGTGAGGACGACGGTGTGACTCTCACCCAGACTGTCCTCAACAGCACACCGGAGACCGACACATTCCTGGATGTGGAGGTTGTTGAGACAGGGGGAGGCATAAGGGAGGAGAGTGAAGGTGGAGGTGGAGTCGGAGGTGAGGCCTTACCCGAGTCCAACCCTGTGAGGAAAAGCTGCAGCGACACAGCCCTCAATGCCATCGTGGCCCGGGATGCGTCCGGTCGTAGGAGAGGCAGCTACGCCCTACATGCTAACAGTGTGAGGAAAAGAGGGATGTCCATCCTGAGGGAGGTGGATGAGCAGTACCACACGCTGTTAGAGAAATACGAAGAGTTGCTCGGGAAATGTAGACGCCACGAGGAGAGCCTCTGTCATGCGGAGGTTCAGACTTCCAGGCCAGTCTCCCGGGACCCCTCCATGAAAGACTGTGCCATGGGCCCCATTCCGGTGCCACCTCCAACCCCAAACCAATCGCCCTCCACACCTGAGGCCATCGAGAGCATCAGTAAGCAGGTGGAGGCGGTAGATAAACGTCTTGGCCAAAACACACCAGAATACAAGGCTCTTTTTAAGGAGATCTTCTCTCGTATCCAGAAGACAAAGATGGACATCAAAGCTTCCAAAGCTGCTAAAGCTAGCAAGTCTGGAAAATCTGGGAAATCTAGTAAACACTAATGGTTTGCTGATGAGCTATAACAGGGCGCTGCTAGTGCTTAAATGACTAAATAAGATGATTAAACTGTGGAGGCAGAGTTATAGTCGTCCTGCCTGCGTGTCGATGTAAGGTTTATCCATGTGACTCCAAGGTCAATGTCCAGCCTTACAAGGTTGTTTGTTTAGCATGAATGGAACCAGATGAGTTCATACCTAACGTACCAAGCGCCTTGCGAACAGGTTGAGGTACAGTATGACTAAACCCTAACCTTCCTCAGTGTGGGTGCTATGGTTCTAACAGTTCATGTATAGTTCAGGTTGTTTAAAAACAGTTCATGTATAGTTCAGGTTGTTTGTGTCTGCATGGCTTTTTATGGAATAAAACCATTCTAGCATATTAAACATTTTCATGTGATGGTCGTTGTTAAAAACCGACTTCATTTATATTCGTACAGGATGTTGTATTATGGATGGATCTGCACATACATCACAGCATGTAGTCTTCAATTGATACTAATGGGCTTCACTACCTTGATACCACAGGCTCATGAACAGCATTGTGCCTGCCAGAAAGCTGCACTAACTGCAAATGCTTGGCTCAAAATTTGTATCTAAAACAATAATAAACTAAAATAAAACCTGATCCGGGAATAATTTTATCACAGCATCTGGTATAATCTCTCTTTTACTGAAAGGCTTCTTCTTTCCAGGACAAATGTGAAAGTCCTATAAAATGTTAATCCTTTACCATGACATGTTGTAGTACAATATAAAATATTACATCTAAACTTTTTTGAAAGCTTTGGCTTTGTTGAAGGCAGTGGGAGAGACAAAACCAACAGCAAAGCAAGATAATTGGGGGATAATGTTTTTATTGATATGCACTGAGGGCTATTTAATTTTATTTTATTTCTACAGACACTACCTGTACTATAAAGCTTCAAAAACAGGGTTGTGTCTAACAATTAACAGTCTTCTAAACTAAAGCTTAAACTGCACTCCTTTTTGTGTAAAATCCATTTGCCTTTTCTGAATGTTGTACAGTAGGAATAAACCACTGATGAAGAAAATGTGATTACAACTGTTAACGCTTTACCTGAAGGTGTGTGTGTCTTGGCTTTTAAATCCAGTCCATTTTATTTACAGTAATAGTACTCTACTAAAAGTATATTCTGCAATTAAGGAGGGAGATATATGCTCAGATGGAACAGAAACAAAGTGAAAGCCTTTTTTGTTTTAAAACCTTTGTTTTTAACACATTGTTTCTCAGTTCTATTAATTTGTGTATTTTTTTTTACTTTTCAGGTGTCTATATTTTAATTTTATCAACTCTCAGAACAAATACACAAGTGTCTATTGTTATGTACACTATTCTGATGTTATTAGTTCATTCATTTGAATACATTTATGACTGTAAAATAGTATGTCATCCTGTTAATAAAGCTTTGCATCATAGGTTGTACAATATTTACTGCGTTTATTATAATATGTTCAATACATTTATAATTCGTACGATAAAAAACATTTAAAATAATCTTAAAGTGATCTAAAGTATAATAATACTGTACTTGGTGCGCAATTCTTTGTCGTAGAATACTGCCATCTACTGGTTGAATTTTTAACTTCCAAAGGTCACGACCGCTTGCAAGCAAACAGTATAGAGAAAAATCTTAACCTCAATATGAAAACGTCGTTTTAAATGTATAATGTCCAAATTTGACACAACATTTTTGTTTTAGGTGCATAGATTTTTTCCCATAAATTATTTTAAAGGCGAGAACTTCAATGTTTTTAACCGAGTCCTTCCGACCAATAAAGTTCAAACCCATCCTTTAAAAAAACAACAACAACACACGCATACAAAAAACATGAAGTAAAATATCATCGCTTTTGAAGTCATAATACTTAAAGGCTAACGGATCTCTCTCTCACATGTGACCGCGTGGCCTAATGGATAAGGCGTCTGACTTCGGATCAGAAGATTGAGGGTTCGAGTCCCTTCGTGGTCGATGCTTTTTACGCCTGTTATTTGATACGTTTTTCCGTTAATTAAATTTTAACATTTTCTTTTGTATTTAATTAAATGTAGAAAGAAATTATCAGTCAATTTGTGCTACATACAACCCAACATTAGAGCTAGCGTTATAAGCTAACTGTCAGACTAAGGTTAGCGGTTCTCCCCTTAGTTGTACTATAAATCTGTAACAGTTATTTGAATAACGCCAGTGAACGTGTAAAGGTAGCAGATCTAAGTGAATTTTTTTTTAAAATAAATCTTATGAAAAACACGAAATGTTCGTCATCCCGGAATGCATATATAAAGTCTTGGTCGCTTCAACTTGCCGCTTAGCAGAGTGGCGCAGCGGAAGCGTGCTGGGCCCATAACCCAGAGGTCGATGGATCGAAACCATCCTCTGCTATTTATGCTTTTTGTGTCAATTCGATAGATATATTTTATAACCCAGGCTGGGAAAATAACAATGGCGGGTCGTCTTAAGAGTTTGATTTTGATTTACAGGGAAAGCTACTATCAAGTGTGCAGTGAAAGAATAAGCTAAAAAAAGGAGAGCCTTTAAAAATATACATATAAGTTGGGGGAAAACAACAAAATCATAGCTTATGTATATTGTGTTGCAATACACAAACTAAATAATAATTTAAAATAGATATGGGGTCATGTATATTAAAAAAGAGGGGAAATTACTAGAGGTTATAAACTAGAGGTCAACTTACCTCTTATAAACGTTATTTAAAGTTTGTTGCAGGTTGCTTTTTTAAATTCACATTTTACAAATACAATGAAGACTGTATCTTTTTTTTGCTGATTAAGTAAGAATCAATTCAAACAATCACACTTTTTGTTTTTATTCAAAATTTATTTTAAAAAAAAGCATAATTTCCTGGGAACCCTCTTGCTCCATCTTAACACTCTGTTTTAAGTATAACTTAACACAGACATGATCAATATAAATAGCTTATACAATATTCACAAGTAGCACAAAAACAGTCAGTCAAAATTAACTTGTCTGCTCTGCTTGATCACGGCGTGCATCTTCTTCTGCTTAAGTCTCTCCTTGTTCTTCTTCTCTAACCTGCAGGACATCATTCTGACATCAGATTTGGCTCCAAAAGGTTGACAAAACATGCACTTGGTCCAAAACAAAGGTTAGTGATACCTGTCTTTTTTAAGGGCTATATCTTCAGCTGTTGGTTCTTGTGGCTTCTTGCTGGCTTCAGTGATGATGGCAGAGATCTTCTCTATACAGTCTACCAGGTTTCTGTGCTGACTCCTGCTCTGTTCTGATGTCACAAAGAGTTCTCCAGCCTTGTTGATGCGGTTTTTGTTCTTTGCCAGATAGAAAGTGGAATTGCATTTTAAAAAGTAATTAAAGACTTTTGAAGGCTAACAAAGGTAAGGAACAAACCTGTTCAAAGATTTTCTGTCGTACATCTTCTGGGATCCAGTCAGCTGTATGTAAATGAAATCTGACTTCCGCTTTTGTGTTGACTGTTAAGAGTTTTATCAACAGACTGCATTAAGGAACAGTTAAAATTTGAGGCTAATTTTCACCTTCTATAGAAAAAAAAGAACAAAAAGTGAAATTGTCCAAACCTTTATTGACATGTTGACCACCTGGGCCTCCGCTTCTGCTGTAGGACACTGTCAGACGTTCTTAGATAAAAAAATAAAACAAATAATTAAATAAAATTTTTAAAGCAAAAAGTAAAAAAAAACGTTTTTCTCTCACACAGTGTAACCATATGTATGTATCTTTTTATTATAGAAAAAATGTATATACCTACTGGAACACGCACCTGGGCCTCCTGACAATAAAAAATATTTTCAATTATTTAAAAAGATAAAGTTTCTTTACTTCAACTTGTCTGCACAAAAGTCCATAGAGAAAGTCTATGATTTTTGTTACGTCAATCTTTGCCTTAATTTTGGCAACTTTGTGCAACAACAGCAAATTTAACTGTCAATTCATTCATTGAAATAACAAGACATCAGAATTAATGCAGAGGCAGACGGACGAGTAATCTTTGTGTACAGTGTGGTTAATTCCCTGTTTTCTCTATGGAATTTTGTATAGAAAGTGTACTTTTTTCACTCCCTGATTTTACTCACCTTTTCGTTGGACGTCACTTGGGCTGCGTACCAAACACTGGGCTGTGATATATGTTTTATGTCCAATTTCAGTAATGTTTTGTGTTTTAAAGGGGACTTAATGTCTTTAATTTTTGCATATCGACAAAATAAATACGACTGTCGAGCTATGAATGCCGCCATCTTGGTGTGACGTAGTTTTCTTCTACGGAGTCTACGGAGAGTTGTGCATTTTAGTTTAGTTGTTATCGTCGCCCCCTGCTGGCTTAAAAGTATGTATATTTAAATTCAGAATGTTATGGATGTTTATAAATGTATATTATATATTCTTTTACACTGATTTTATATATTATAAAATCATACGTATGTGGTAATACTGATTAGATTATATTAGATTCCTACTTCTTCAGCTGTTCTTAAAGAAAAGATAAGTATGAGTCTAAAAACCATGTAAACTAATTAAAGCTTTATGTAACACCTATTACCATAGGACTTAAAAGTCGAAGTTGTGCTTAATACGTCATACTAAAGATGTAAAAAATAAAATATAGGATATTATAACTGCTGTGGAATGCTGTGGAATTATAGGACTGAACCTCCAGAACAGAACCAGTAGTCATAAGGATTGCTCTAGGTGAGGCTCGAACTCACAACCTCGGCATCACTCTGCAGGTTACTGTCTTATAAGTACCGCGCGCTGACCGATTGCGCCACTAGAGCCCGTTATTAGACACAGAATAAAACAATCATGGTTTCTATACGAAAGAAACCATCTGCAAAGGGATGTTCTGTACTGCCTTGGTTAGAATTCAGTTATTTTTGGCTTTGTTTACCTTTGTGGTGGATGCTCACGTCACAGAACTGGGCCTAAATATTGTACTCAACTGTGCGAGAACGAAAAAACAAAAATAACACTATACTATCTAACATTTAGCTGTTACATTTACGTTTTAAGACAATTTACAACACTAGAACCATGGGAACAATATTTACAAATATGTAGTGTGGAGCAAAAAACAAACAAAACAAACAAAATATATCTGCAGCCCTATTGTCTAAACTAGCAGATGATGTTTATTTGTTCATAATAAATAATAAAGAAGAACAGTCTATGTCATGTCCTTTGATCATGTGTTTCGACTGAGAAAAGGCATCCTTTAATATCTTCTTATCTGTGAGCTGTCTACATGAAGATATTACTTTGGATGTTTGGATACTATGGATAAACAGATGCAGCAAACCTCACAGCTCCAAACTGCCCTGCCAGATGCTGAGCAGACGTTAGAGAAGCCAAGACTCCAATGGGAAGATAAGAAGTCCTGTCTGTTGGAAGAGCTGCAGCAGGAAACCTCTAGTCTGGAGAAGGCCCTGCTGCAGGAGAAGGAGGAGCTGAAGGTGCAGAGGGTTCAAGTCATGGAGGAGAAGGTCAGCATCATGAAGGCGTTGAGGAGTGTCAGCAAGTGTGTAGAGGACAGGAAGAGGGAGCTGAAGAGGAGTGAGGAAGAACTGAGGAGGAAATTAGAGGAGTTACAGTCTCGGATTATCAAGCTGCAGAGAGAAGCCAGGAACCATGCTGGATGGGAGGATTTCACCCGCTCCTCTGAGGAACTGTAACGTCCTGGTCCAGGTGGTCCAGGTGGTCCAGGTGGTCCAGGTGGTGAGTTTAAGTCTTACCAACAAGATTTAATCATTTACACAAGCCCCTGGGTCACTATAGTTGTATTTGGACAAACAACAAACCCCTTCAGTCAGATCTATTGGTTCCAAAGGTGTGACATATCATCCATTGTTCGAGTCTACTGATATACATGCTCTATGTCAGAGCAGAGTGGCGCAGCGGAAGCGTGCTGGGCCCATAACCCAGAGGTCGATGGATCGAAACCATCCTCTGCTAGTAAACCTTTTCGTGGTTTTACGTCGACAGGAAGCGCAATGTGTCAAGGCGTCCGCTAGAGGTCAGTCACGTCATCGTTACACGTCATTGCCGCATTTCTTGGGTCAAGCGTGAAGGAAAAAGTCCACAGAAAAAAACGAATGTTCGATAGGTTATGTCTAAATAAAACAACATAAACATCCCCTTTACTGCGTTACCAGGTGTTTGTAACTGCCTTTTAATGAAATTAACAAGAAGTTAAGCACCTACAGGTGAGCACCAAAAACGTTTATACCCCACCCGCCCCTCCCATGTCAATTTAGGGGCTCCATATCTATATCAGTAATTGTTTAACTTTTTACAAAGTGGGCTTCTCAAAGAAAGAAGTGTGTTTAGTAATTATCTGGGATTTAGGATTTTAAATCGGCGTTGAATACTCTTGAATACTCTACTACGTAGCAAATATTGTGCAACAAATTCAGAGATCATGTATCTTGCCGCTGCTCTCCGGGCGTATGTGTTGTTTGTTTTGTTTATGTACAGTGTCCTTGGGTGACTTGAAAGGCGCTTATAAATAAAATGTATTATTATTATTATTATTATTTTGTGTTGGTTGTTCCTGTATGTTGTAGTTACATAGTACTGCCGCTGGATGGCAGTGTGAGGCCTGCTGCTGCAGATGGAGAGAGTCGGTGGATCCTCAGCAGATCGTGGACGTTCGACTTCTTCTGTCACCGAGCAGTAACAGCAGCAGCGGTGGCGGCAGCAGGGTGCAGAGAACCGGCGGGTAAGACAGAGTTGGCCCAACCGAACCGTGTCACTTATGCTAGACATTTTCCGGACTAGAGAGTACTCTCCTGGTGAACACCTGGAGCTCGTTCCCGAATAAACCTCCAAACATCTCGCCTTGCAGTGATGCAGTGACAGCCTCAGAACTTATGAAGTGACCACCGGCAGCTCCGCTCACACCCTCACCACAGGAGAAGGAGGAGGCTGCAGGAGAACCGGACTCCGGGGTAAAGGTAAGGGGAAAGGGGGCAGCTCTGTATCCGGCCCGGTGGTTTCTCACGATCTACATGTAGTCGGTGATCACAGGGCGGGATCAGCGGACAGACAGGGCACAGATGGAAGGGTGTAGCGGGGTCTCCGGGTGTGGGTTAAGTATTCGTGTTTATACAGTTGCTACAATTTGTGCTATACCAAAATGATTTCACAAAATCTAATGTTATCGCCAAAAATAGTATTTAAAATCACGAATTAGCTCATGTACAATGTGAATTGTGACGATCGTGTGAATCCTAAGCATCATCCTTAATTAAGACATTGTCCAATTAACATGATTTAGATGCTAAATAGAAGCCGTCTTCTTGAAATACTAGACCCCCGCCCCCCTCCGAGGTTTATTTATATATATATGTTCAAATGTCCTCTCTTGTCTCTGTACTCATGTCTGGACAAAAATGTTTGAGGCATGGTTGCACGCAATTTCTAACTTAGCATATAGCAATAGCATCACTGTCAAGATTTTGACCCTCTAAAACACACGGGTCAAACTCAGGCCCGGGGGCCAAATATGGCCTGCGGTGTGATTACATTTGGCCCGCGAGATCATATCAAATGTGTACTAGAGTTGGCCCCCCAGTATATAAACCCTATATACAGGCAGGGTTGTAGTATTAGCTGTGTATGCGCTATGTTATAGCACATACGTTTTGTTTTGTTTTGTTGTTGGCCTGTGAAAAAAAGATGTACATTAAATGGGAACTGGAAAGGCTACAGATAAGGAACATAATTAGAAACAAATACTTCTGATCTTTGTTTTATTTCAAATTTAATTCCCCATGTGTTTATAATATTAGGCTTTGGTTCTTCCACATTGCATATCTGGAGAGAAGGGAAAACATGCATAGTTGGCATCAGTTTTACAATAAATTTTAAGTTTGGTCTGTGATTTTGTCCCAGTTTTTAATTTTGGCCCACTGTGAACCCATAGATAGTTTTAGAGTCTAAAACTATCTATGAGCCACAAGGTGGCAGAGGTTAGTGCTCTTGCCCATCATTAGAAGAGCGGGTTTGATCCTGGTGGGTAATTGATTGTCTTTCTGTCTTCTACCTGTGTTTGTGCCAGTTTTCTCCTCTAACAGTCCAAAAACATGCAGATTTGATCATGTGAATAGGTGTGAATGTGTGAGTGTGAATGGCTCTCTGTCTCTGGTCTCTGTACGTGCTGCTGTCATTGACAGGGTGTAACGCCTTCTTTATAACACTGAAGTCGCCCTCTCCCTGCATTTTCTCTCAGTTCCTTTAGTTTCTGTGGCTCTGGATTTTACTCCAACCTTGGGAGTACCTCAGACACGGGTCTTGATTTGACCCAGGTTTCTTTAGGTGTCAAGACATTTGACCTGGACAATGTTCCTCAAAACCATGTTTCTAAAATACATTTCTGAAAACATCTAGACTGTAGTTAACGTCTCACTCTTAATTCAAACCAGTATGAACTGTGACTTTGTCTCTCAACTAGGACCAGGCTCAGGTCCTTACGGGACGGCCTGCTCCTAAAAACGTCACTGCACTAGAAAAGGTTACAAAGAGGTAACCAATTGAGCGCACACACACCCTCAGGTTGGTGTGATGGATGGATGAGAGTTGCTGCTGTTCAGATGAAGGGGATCACTGCAGTCTCTGCCCACAGCACACAAATCCCACAGAGACAATTAAACCACTGACCCGTGTCATCAAGGATTTGTTTTGCCTTCCTGTTTGGAAGGAGTGTAGGAAGCCGAATTCTGGGCCAGATGGCAACTCAACATACACACGCACACACACACACCTGGAACAGCCATTCAGATTTCCGACTGTGGTAGAGTGGATTTGAGGCCAGTGTTTGAACCAGCGCTCCCGCAGTGACTCAGCTTGGGTCAGCGGCTGAAAGAAAAAAAAAACATACAAATATAGACGTAGGTCTCTGTAGTACGTCTGTCAATTTTTATTCACAAAAAACAACAAAAATATGTCTTTGAACTTTTAAGGTCTGGATTTTAGCCTAGTGTTGTTCCTTTGCCTCATATTGGACTCGACCCATGCTGCATGATCTTTAATAAGCATGAAAATGGACCTTAAAAGTGCTTGAACTGGGACTGTGAAATCAATGCAAAAGACACAAAGTGTTCTCTAAGACTGGCCAATCACAGTTTATATATATATATATA